CAGTTTCAAATGTTCCTTTTTAAATTCCTCTTCAGAGGTATTTATAATTTTTTTATCATTTATTTATTATATTATTATTTATTTTGTAGTAATTTAAATTATTATATATTTGTATTATTATAATGTAATATAATAATATAAATAATAATATAATATTATATTAAAATAAACTAAAGAGCAATTTTTTTGTAGGCCGGTAAATAAATAAAAAATAAATGATAAATAAATTGTAAATACATATTTTATTATAATATAATATTTTATTTTTTATAAACTAATATTTTTATAACACAAAAATATCCCCCTCCAATAATTTTCCTTTCACTTACAAGTATTTTTTTTTCGTTTACCTTTTTTTTTTGTTGCACTGTTTAGAAAAATTTCATCTTCCTCGCAAACTGGTTGAGAGAGTAAGTCATAAATCAGAACAACCATATTCCATATTTCATATGTTGCAGTACCTGTCTAATTGGTACGATGACCTTATATAGTTATATAGCCGATTGAGTTCTCAACTAGTCGATTTTCAAAGTTTCATAAAATATATTTCTTCCCCCTCTTTTTTCATATAAAAATAAAAAAAATATTGTAAAGAAAATTTTTAAATTCAATTTCAATATTAAGTTTAGCTGATGCGAGAGATTTTCAATTTTGTATATAAAAATATGAAATTCACATTTTCAAGTGCTTGCAGCATCTTACGGTCCATTGACATTTTTCATTTTTTTTTTTTACACTTTGCTCGAATTCTTTTTTTTTTTTTTTTGTTAAGTCGAGCATGAATAATAAAGATGCAAAAACTTAATTACGAAGTTTATATGAAAAGTGGGTAATATAAATTTTCAATGAACGAGGAGAGAGAGATAGCAAAATTACCATATTTCGTTAGGAAAACTTTAAACTGCAACGTAAAGTTTATTCATAATTGACGGCGTTGATCCTTTTCAAAAAAAAAAAAATAAATAAAATATGAAATAAATTAAAAATTAAAAAAAAACATGTTCCAGATTTTCTTTTTTAATAATTATTATAATAAATAAATAAATAATTTTTTCCATTATTTATTTTATCACGGAAAAAATATTTTCTCTAGAACAACGATAATTTTCTCTAGAATAGCGAAAGTCTTAACACTCTTAACTGAAACATCTAAAAGACTCTAAAAGTTTCGCTAATATAATAAAATTTTTAGATGTTCCAGATAAAATATTTTTTGCCTATATATATTTAGTTTCAAATGCGTAAAACTTTTTATTGCTTTTGAAAATAAAAAAATTATTTTTTCTATTTCTGACAAAAATTTATTTTTAAATAAATTAATTCTTGAAGAACTATATCATAAAACTATTACTTATAAATTATTTAATCAAAAAGGTTTGAATTGGAAAATTTCATAAATCTTAATCATTTTTAGAGTGAATTATAGAATATTTTTTAGAATTAGGGAAAAAATGAAAATGTTGTCTAAATCAGAGAAAAAGAGAAAATTAAATTTTTGAGACATTTTTTTATTATTTATCGTCAACTTTTAAAATTCAATATTGTATCGCATACTTGAATAATTCAAAAACAATTTTGCAAAATTTTCTACAATTTTTCGTTTTCCATTTGAAAAAGAAAGAAAATGTATTGTTTATTCATTAATAAATATACTTGGCACGTATTCATATTGTCGCTCGAAATATATATATTTTTCTTTGTTGCATTGTATTATATAAAAGAAAGGAACAGAAAATATATATTTTTTGAACATAGCGAAAAGGTAATTTTCCGCAGTCTGAGGAACGTGACCCCGCACGTTATATTTATCCGAAAATATATTGGCTTTAGCAAAAGCGGGTCACTGCAAATCTCATAGGTGTGTGCACGAAATGGTCTTATGGCCATGTGTCAAGAAAGTCCTAATTCAACAAATTCTCCACCCTCGCCCAACGGCTGACAACTTACTGTATATTTATATATTAAAGAAAAAAATGAAAAAAAATACGAGAAAAAGAAAAATATAAATTTTCAAATTATTCCCAGATTTTTAAACTGGATTTTTTCAAACAGAAATAAATCAGTTTTGGTTTTTTTAGTACTTCAAACCTGAAAATTCCAAAATATCCCAAAGAAATTTGTTTAGTATTTTAAATAAAAAAAAACAATAAAAATCTCAAAGAAAATTGTCTTGTGTTTTAAACTTAAAAAACCCAAAAAAATCCCATAGGAAATTCTTTAGTATTTTTAACCTAAAAAACCGAAAAAATCCCAAAAAATTCCAAAGAAAATTGTCTTGTATTTAAAACTTAAAAAAATCCAAAAAATCCCAAAGGAAATTCTTTAGTATTTTTAACCTAAACAACCGAAAAAATCCCGAAAGAATTTGTTTTGTATTTTAAATCTAAAAAAATCCCAAAAAATTCTAAAGAAAATTGTCTTGTATTTTAAACTTAAAAATTCCCAAAGAAAATTGTCTTGCGTTTTAAATTTAAAAAACCCAAAAAATCCCAAAGAAAATTCTTTAGTATTTTTAACCTAAAAAGCCGAAAAAATTCCAAAGGAATTTTAGTATTTTAAATCTAAAAAAATCCCAAAAAAATGCAAAGAAAATTGTCTTGTATTTCAAACTTAAAAAAACCCAAAAGATCCCAAAGAAAATTCTTTAGTATTTTACCTGAAAAACCGAAAAAATCCCAAAAAAAGTCTTCAGTATTTTTAACATAAAAAACCAAAAAAATCCCAAAGAAATTTGTTTAGTATGTTAAATCAAATAAACAAAAAAAAATTCCGAAGAAATCTGTCTTGTATTTTTAACTTAAAAAACCCAAAAAAATCCCAAAGGAAATTCTTTAGTATTTTTAACCTAAAAAACCGAAAGAATCCCAAAGAAATTTGTTTAGTATTTTTAATCTAAAAAACCCAGGGAATCCCAAAAAAAATTGTCTTGTATTTTAAATTTAAAAAACCCTAAAAAATCCCAAAAGAAATTCTTTAGTATTTTTGACCTAAAAAAATAAAAAAATCCCAAAGGAATTTGTTTAATATTTTGAACCTAAAAGTACCAAAAAATACCAAAGAAAATTGTCTAGTATTTTAAACGTAAAAACCCCAAAAAATCCCAAAGGAAATTCTTTACTATTTTTAACCTGAAAAAACAAAAAAATCCCAAATAAGGACTTTTTGGGTTTTTTTTAAACTTTTTTTGTATTCATCTTTTCTGTATAATTATATATTTTTTGTGAATCATCAGTGACATTTAGGAAATTCTTGATTATCATACCGATGACAATCGCTAAACTACGATCGTTAAGAAAATATTATAAAGATTAGAAATACATAATTAGACTAATCATTTTTCAGGATAAATCTGACTCACCATTTAACTGAGGTAAACAAATTGACAGCAATTTCCTGCTTAAAATATTGACAACTGCATCTGCAATTGTAATCTATTAAGCAGAAATAAGGAAGTTGTTTATTAACGATTACTCACTTTTTAAATAAATTTCCAACTTACGGGATGAATTTAAAGCGAAGATTATTTTTTGTCATTTTTTAAAGTTTCGTATTTTATGCATTTTCATATTTCTTTAATTATTTATGTCATTAGCGATATTTTAATTACTTCCTAGTAATAATTATTTTTTATTTATTAGTAATTTTCAGAATCTCATTGGTTCTGAATAATAATAATAAAAATAAAAATAGAACTAATAATAATAATAATAATAATAATAATAATAATAATAATAATAATAATAATAATAATAATAATAATAATAATAATAATAAATAATAATAAATAATAGTTTGAATAAAATTATAAAAAATAAAAAATTATCAAAAAGGAAAAAATAAAAAAAATATAAAATATATTTCGTAGTATAAAAAATGGAAAATAAAATACAAATATAAAACTAGAATTATTTTTTAATAATATTCTCTAATTATATTATATAGTGATTACTATTAATTATAATATAATTACAATAATTAAAAAAAACAAATGAAAAAATTACAAAAATTATAATCGAATAATAATTAAGTTTCCTTAATTGTTGAATGTAATGATGATGTAATTTTGCGTTTTATTCACTATTTTGACATAACTAATTTTTTTACTGCGACATTAATTATTAAGTAATTGTTAATTGTTTCTAAAGAGCGATTTCAGTAGAAAATAATAATGATTTGCTTGTATGGAAAATATTTAAATTTCCATTTTAATGGTATCTAAAGATCTCGTATTTGAAAAACGCAATTTTCCAAATGTATATTTTATAATAATTTAAGAAAAATCTTAATGAGATTCATTAAATAATATTATAATGAGTTTATTTGATGGACTTTTACATTTTAGTTGTACGTTCGTATTTTATGATATTCTGCCCTATATTAAATTCAAGGTACGAAATGTGCAAATTAAATATATGTACAGAAGATATAATTTTAATTTAATATTTAATTTCCAGTAGTATACTCTCGTAGAGACTGTTAATTAAACGAAATATTCTTTATTCATTGCGAATTTAGTATATGTTAATAAAATTTTATTCACTGAACTGTATGAAATATTCTTGGATTTTTATTTATATTAATATAATTTATTAATAAATTATAAATTTATAAAAAAAGATTATTATTTTTTTATTTATTATTTTTATTTTTTATCTTTCAAAGTGAATTTAATTTAGTATCTAATTATTTACATACAAAAATTTAATTATAATTTGAAATTCGTTTGATATTTTTATTCACTATTTTTTTCTACTTTTTCTCTTCTTGAGAGGCAGGGAAAAATAAAGAAATAATGCAAATGTTTAAAAAAAAAAAAGGAAACGAATGAATAAATGACTTTTGCTTCTTTAGATGCGCGGGAAAAAAGTAATTATTCGGAAAAAGAGACTTTTGTATATCTATATGTATATGCGAAATGTAAAAGAAAAATTGAATTTCTCTGGGGCGAATAAATTCTGTGGGATTCTCGCAGTTGCTCATTAGTACTCTTTTTTTTCCAGGACATTGAGCACGTCGACGTGCTGTCAGTTCATTACGAGTTAGACGGCGTAGAAAGGATCCTGGATCTTCGATTGAATAAAGATCTCATTCCCTATGGTTATCAACAGAGACACCAACACAAAGGCACTTATAAAGTACACACTCCAACCAAAGTTGTAAGTTCAATCAATTTTTCTCTTGTTTTTTTTAAATTCCAATTTATTTATTTTTAAGAAAATTATTAATAATAAAAATAGTAATTTTTTTCGTCTTTTTCAATAATATTTTTTTTAGTTATTTTCTATACAATAATGCTAATAATAAAAATAATAAAAAAATAAAGAAAACCATAAAAAAAATTAAAAAACAAAAAAAATAAAGAAAACAATAAAAAAATAATAGCAACAAATAAATAAATAATACCCACGCAAGTTTTATATTTTAATATTATTTTAACATTTCTATTTTTATTAAAGTCTAATAATAAGCTTTGTTGCAATTTATTTGCAAAACTCAAAAAAATTGTTCTATTACATTTACGAATTTTTTTAATTGTAAAATTATTCGAAAACATCAATAAATTCTTTTTTAAACAAATATTTAATCATTATTATTATTTTATAGAAATTAATATTTTCAAAAAATTTCAAATTCAAATCTTTATGCGAAATTCAACAACTTATAAGAATATTATTACTTATGTTATTTTTCACATGAATTTAATTATTTAAAAAGTGTAATAATATTCGTTGTAAGAATTCAATTATTTTCATAAATAATAAAGTTTCATTATTATTTTCTAAAAATTTCTTGCAAAAATTCAATTACATTTCACAAATAATAAAATTCTTCGCTGAAATTAAAATATTTTCAAAATCTACTATTTTAATCAAATTTCGTAAATTGAATTCAATTATTTTAAAAAATGTAATAATTTATTGAATAAATAAATATTTATCAAAATTGAATCAACAAATTTTTAAATAATTGAATTTTTTCGACAAATTTTAATAAAATTTTCTATTACATTTTTCGATGAATTCGATTAAAAAATTGAAATTCTACGAGTTTTATTATTTATGAAAATAATTAAATCTCGGTAAAAATTTTATTATTTATGCAAATAATTGAATTATTGACAAGAAATTTATAAAAACATTTCTAAATATGTAATTGAATTCCTGTAAAATTTTTATTATTCATGAATTTTTTATGAAATAATTGAATTCTTTTGTAAAATTTTAATAAAATTTTTAAAAATAATTATATTCTTCGAGGAATTTGATTAAAATTGAATTAAAAATAATTGAAATTCTGCCAAGGCTATTCTATTACAATTTTTCAAAATAATTGAATTTTGGAAACAAATTTTATTAGTTATGAAAATAATTGAATTATTGCTAAGTATAAAAAAATTTGTAAACTATTGAATTTCTGTGAAATTTTTATTATTTTTGTAAATAATTACCTAAATGTTTGCGTAGAATTAAAAAAAAAATTTTAATAATTGAATTCTTATGGAAAATTTTATTAAAATAGTTTAGATATTGAAAATCATTTAATCAAGGAAAATTTTTGAAAATAATTAAATTTTGCAGAAGAATTTTATTATTTTTAAAAATAATTGAAACTTTGACGTGGCATTTTAAAAATTTTTTGAACATAATAATTGAATTTCTGCGAAGAAATTTATTACATTTGAAAATAATTGAATTCATAAAAAGAATTTTATTATTTTTATGAAAATAATAGAATTTCTACGATGAGTATTATTATAAAAATAATTGCATTCCTAAAATCAATTTTATAATTTATAAAAATAATTGAATTACTAAGAGAAATTTTATTATTTATAAAAATAATTGAATTTTTACGAAGAATTCGTAATTTAATTTTTTTATAAATAATTTAATTCTTGAGAAGAATTTTATGAAAATTGTGTTTTAAATAATTTATTGAACTACTGTGAAATTTTTATTATTTATGAAAATAATTTAATGTTTGCTTAGAATTTTATCAACACTTTTTTAAAATAATTAAATTATTTTGAAAAATTTTACTAAAATAGTAGATATTGAAAATGATTGAATTGAGGAAAATTTTTAAATATAATTGAAATTTTGCTAATAATTTTATTACTTTTGAAAATAATTGAATTTTCAGCAATTATTTGTAATTTCTTCTAAATTCAATTTTTTTCAGTACTTTAATAAAAATCCCTGACTTTTCCCTGATTTCCCTGACCTGTGACAACCCTGGAAATGTTAAAATATTTTTAAAATAAAAAACTTGCAGAATTTCCATGGAAACTCTACGGAAATTACATAATAAAATAATTATTATTATTTTAGGTTTAAAATTTTTTTAAATTTATTATTATAAGTAATTATTATTCAGTAATCATTTTTATTAATTTATTAATTTCTTATAAAACAATTATTTTTTATTATCACTTTTCCATATTTTAATATCTTCTTTTTTATACTACCTACGCTTCAAAGTTTTCAATTTAATCGGTTTTTTTTCGATAAAATTTAATCAACACGTGCGCACCTGGAGAAATACGAATCAGAAAATTGTGATTCACTAAGTTTTTTTCCTTTTTTTTAAAAGAAGAAAAATAATTATTATCCTCCTTTAATATGCTTCCGTTTTATAATTCTTTCTATATATAAAATCCCATATTTTTCTCCAACTAATAAAATTCTTTTAATGTCGAAGAAGATATTTTTTTAATGAAAGTAAAGATAAAATTTTTCAATCTCTTTTTTTAAAAACTGAAATCCTTTTAGAAATTCTGATATAAATGTCTCTTTTTTTGGGGGGTGGGGGAGAGAAGTCGGGGAAATAAAAAAGAAAATCCAATTTACTCTATCAGTTTATAGTATACTTTAAAGTCAATAACGATTTATATCAAAAGAGATATAATTGATGTCATAGTTATTGAACGATTCGAGATATAGAAAAAATAGGAGGAAAAAAGTATTTTTCTGCCACATTTATACACGATGTTTATTTTTCTCTGCGTTATTTATATAATAAAAAGAATAATTTCTTTTTTTGATGGAAAACATTTTTTTTTATTTACTCGACTGTGTAACATCGGATTAAATTTTTTTGTAACATTTTTCATTAAACTGAGAATTGTTTTTTGAAATTAAATTTTTTTAATTCGAAAGGAACATTTTTTTCAAAATTAGTTTTTTTTATAATTAAATTACAATTTTTTTAATTACAATTTTTTTAAATAGAAACTCGTTTAATTACAAATTGTTTTAATTATACATTCCTTTGAATGCAAAAACGTTTTAATTACAAAATTTTTCGATTTATAAATATTTTAATACTTTATTTTAATTTGTATTGGAATTTAAGAGAGAAACTAAAATGGAAAATTCCTTTAATTTTCAAATTTTTTAATTAAAAAATATGATTTATAAATATTTTATTTTAATTCATATTGGAATTTAAGATAAATACTAAAATAGAAAATTCCAAAGTTCTACAAAATTCTTTCAATTACAAATATGTTTTAGTTACAAAATATTTTGATTTATAAACCTTTTGAAAATTAATTTTAATAATATTTTAATTTTAATTTTAATTTAATTTTAATAATATTTTAATTTTAATTTTAATTTAATTTTAATATTGGAGATTTAGGGGAAAAAGATATAGAAATAAAAAGTGAGAGCAATCTCTGATCTCAGAAACGTTTAAATAAATTTTATCTTCGATGGAATTTATATAGAGTCATTAACACTTGCTCTATAATATAAAAATAAAAATAAAATTGCAATATCAATATAATGACTGGCAATAATATAAACTGTGAGTTCGTTGTGCTTTGTTCTATATTTGGCTTCACATTTTACCAATTGCCATCCTTAATTGTCTCGACAATGCTAGTTTTTTTTCTTTTTTTTTTTTAATACATGTTATCATTTGCATACAAGAGACACCCAGTTGTATTATAATTACTCGGATATACACGAATTACTCACTTCCGTTTCCATATAAAAGTAAAATGAAAATTTCATTCGTAAATTTGCGTTTTTCATTTATTACACATTTGAATGGAATTTCGGTAAAAAAAATTATTTTCCCCCTTTCGCATTTATAAAATTTATTTTCTTTATCTCGACCGATTTGTTAATATTACGCTCTTCACATTTTTATTATTATTTTTATTTATTTTATACTTTTTCCATTTTTCTTTGTTGCTTTAAAATTCATTACTTTTGAATTTTTATTTTATTTATTTTTATTTTTTAAAATAAATGTTATCTTATTATTATTTATATTATATTATATTGTTTTATTTTTTTTATTTATTTATTTACCTATTTATTTTATTTATTTGAATTTTTTTTATTTACTTTCTAATTTTTTTTTTTTAAATTTTATTTTGTTTCTTTTTTCATTTTATTTGTGAAAAAGATAAAGAAATTTTATTCATGTTTAGAACAGAGAATCCTGTTTGAAAAGAAACAATAGTTTCAATTTTTTTCGTGAAAAAATAAAATATTTAAATAAAATATATGTTCTGTGAGTTGAAAAAAGGCAACCGTATTCTCTGTTCAATTTTCAAACCAGATTACTTTTCAGATTAGAAAGAATCTCATTATATCCTGAATGACAAGAAGTATATAAAATTCATTTTAGTGAATTTAAAAAAGAAAAATTTTCTTTCTTAATAATTTGCTTTGAAAAAAAAATTTAAAAAAAAGAAAATTTGTCTCTAAACTAATATAGAGATGAAATAAAACAAAAGTAACCAAAAAGTATAACTAAAACGACAACAAAATAAGACTAGAATAAAATCTAATAAATATTCAAATTTAAATAAATGATAATTAACAATAATAAATATTATTTAAATATTATCAAATTTAAATAAATAATCGTTAATATTAATAAATATTTGTCTAATTTTTCTTCTATTTCCAAATACACCAAAATGGACAATTATTATTCAAAATTTTTTATAATTTACATGGCCTTGCAACGAGCGAAGAATACATTAATTAAACGCTGCGAATAATGTAACTATAAACATGAAGATAATCTTGTGGCTTGAGACAATTGTATTATTCTCAGGGCCTCGTCACTTATTGCAGAAATATGCAATTCTTTTTTTTTTTTTTTTTGAACCTTAGACTTATTTCAACGAGTGCATGATGACGCATACAATGACTTTTTTCCAAGTTCCTCTCGTGTTTCTATAAAGAAAAAGACATTTCCTACCGCGGGGGGAGAACAAATAAAGAAGAAAAATGCGTCAATCTTGCGTGCTTAACTGTCATTATTATTAAACTAATATGGAATAATTCATCTTACGCCAAGAATTTCACGTTCACTCCCTTAGCTTAATTCGTTTTTGTGACCTTAAAATGAAACATGACATTTTTGTATTTCCAATTAACTGGAAACTTTTGTAATTATTTTTTGCAATTATTTTTCGTTATTATGTCTATTTTTATTATTACAGGGTTGCAACAAAAATTTAATTTTGATGACCGAAAAAATGTAATGAAACTCATCGTCAAAAGAATTGTATTCATAAAAACTATAAAAAAAATTTTTGAAGCCATTTGTAGATTTATTTATGTTCGAAATCAAATATATTTAAATTTGATGAGAAAAAAAATCGGAAAAAATTAGGAATCAATTAAATATTTACTTGAATCAACTAATTTTTATTTGAGTCAATTATATATTTACATGAATCAAATAATTTTTATTTGAGTCACAATTAAATGGTTCAGTTAATATTTGATTCGAATACTTAAATTATTGCTTCAAATAGATACCATTTAATTGATTTAAATAAAAATTACGTATTTACGAATCTCTTTAATTTGTAAACCTATTCGAAAACATCAATAACTTATCATTTTTAAATAAATATTTAATCAAAATTATTTTCATCATTTCAATTCAATTATTATTTTCTAGAATTTTTAACTAAAATTCTTCTTTAAATTAATTATTTTTTATAATTTTTGAAAAAGTTCTAATTTGAAAATTTTCAAATCCATTTGTTTACAATTCAATTTTACAAAATTTCAATTATTGGGAAATTCTTAAAAGAAAACTTCAAATAATTTTTATGTTAACTGAAATTCATCTTTAATTCAATATCTATTAGAAAATTCTACATGAATTCAATTATTTAAATACAAAAATAAATAATTTATTCAATAATTGAATGTTTCTTAAAATTAAATTGTCATGAAGAATTTTATCAACAAATTTTTAAATAATTGAATTCTTTTGACGAATTTTAATAAAATTTTTAAGAATACTTACATTTTTCGAGGAATTTAATTCAAATTGTCTTAAAAATAATTGAAATTCTGCGATTAGTTGTATTATTTATGAAAATAATTGAATCTCTGTAGAAAATTGTGTTATTTATGAAAAATAATTGAATATTACAAAAATATTTTAAATAATTGAATTCCTGTGGAATTTTTATAATTTATGAAAATAATTAAATGTTTGTGTAGAATTTTATCAAAATTTTTGAATAATTGAATTCTTTTGACGAATTTTAATAAAATTTTTAAAAATACTCACATTTTTCGAGGAATTTAATTAAAATTGTATTAAAAATAATTGAAATTCTGCGATTAGTTGTATTATTTATGAAAATAATTGAATCTCTGTAGAAAATTGTGTTATTTATGAAAAATAATTGAATATCACAAAAATATTGTAAATAATTGAATTTCTGTAAAATTTTTATAATTTATGAAAATAATTAAATGTTAATGTATATTTTTATCAAAATTTTTGAATAATTGAATTCATTTGGAAAATTTTATTAAAATAGTAAATATTGAAAGTCATTGAATTGAGGAAAATTTTTGAAAATAATTGAAATTTTGCCAAGAATTTTATTTAAATTTTTAAAAATAATTGAATTTTAGAGACAAATTTTATTATTTATGAAGATAATTGAAATTTTGACGAGAAATTTAAAAACTTTTTGAATATAATTAGGTAATTGAATTTTTGCGAAGAATTTTATTACTTTTGAAAATAATTGAATTTCTGGAATCATTTGTAACTTCTCCAAAATTCAATTATTTTGTAATGTTTCTTTTTACTAAAACTCTTCTATAAAATCTATATTTTTTAAAATTAATTAAATTAAAAAATTGACAAATTTCAGAAGAATTTGAATTATTAAATTTTTTCAAAAATCTAAGTTCATTAAAGTTTCTAATTAAATTCATTCAAAATTGAAATTTTATAAAATTACAAATTGACACCTTTTGAAGTTCATCTATTTATGAAAATAAATAAATAATATTTTAAAATTCAATTAATTTTGAAATTTTTAAGTAAAATTATTCATATTGAATAGTTTATAAATAATTTTTATTATAGGTATTATTTTTTATTACTATTATTGTTTTTTTTGTTATTGCTTATTATTTTTATTCCTATTTCTGCTTATTAGTATTTTTGTTCTTAGTTCCATTATTATTATTTATAACTATTATTGTCTTTCAGTTTTTTTGTTATGACTACTATTATTTTTATTACAATTTCTGTTTATTAGCTTTTTTGCTATTTATTGATAACGAAAGTATTGTTACAATTATTATTATTATAATTATTATTATTGTTTATTATTATTTTTGTTATTAGTTTTATTTGTTGTATTGCTATTATTGTTCATTGGTTTTTTTTAGTAATCAGTACTTTTTTTAGCATTTTTAGTATTATTATTATTATTTTTTTCTTTAGAATTTTTAGAATTTTAGAAAAAGGAAAATATCCTCCTTTTTTTGTTATTGTATATAAATAATATTAAAAAAAAATTGTAATTTGCAGGAATTGTGTCAGTATCATGGAAGCATAAGAGACGTACCTGGATCTTGGGCTGCAATTTCCACCTGCAATGGCCTGCAAGGCGTCATCTACGATGGCATCGATCTTCATCACATTCATCCCGAAATTGAGACACTTAATTCCAAACACTATATTTATAAACATAAAGATCTCATTGGCAATCGTACATGCGGTAAGACATCATAATTTCCTCTCTGATGAATTATTCTGCAACAAAAAAAAATTTTTTTTCTTTAATACACGTTTACTAACATTTTTATTGAATTTTCATTTTTTTAAATCTAGAAACAATTTTGAAACAAACATTTTCCCCACAAAGAAAATCCATATTTTAATTAAATATTTCTTCTATGAAAATTATATTTTTCTATATTATTTTTTCATTTTGTTTTTCTTCATTTAACGAGAATGTATCTTTTGTTCGGTAAAATACGCTTGGAATTTTTTTAGTAATTTCAATATTTTTTCAGTAAAGAATTTATTTGAAAAAAATATTTTCTCATTAAGGACGTTATTTGCAAAAAATGTTTGTTAATTAAAAACTTTGTAAAAATATTTTTTCATTAAGAACGTTATTTGTAAAACTATTTTTTCATTAAGAACTTTATTTGTAAAACTATTTTTTCATTTAAAACTTAACTTGTCAAAAATATTTCTTCATTAAGAGTTTTATTTGTTAAACTATTTTTTCATTAAGAATTTTATTTGCAAAAATATTTTTTCATTAATAATTTTATTTGCATAAAATATTAAATGACCGGAATTTTTTGAATTTTTTTGCCTTAAAAGTATAAATCCTTTTTTTTTACTTTTCGAATTCGCTTGAATTGTTCAATGCTCGTTGACCTGCTCCCATTGGCAATGAGCCAGAGTACTGCGTGAATTTGTGATCCTTAAAAAATAAAGTAGTATCTTTGGAGAATAAATTTCGATAGAATCTTCATATATTATATATATACATATATATATTCAGTTAAAGAAAATACAGAAGTTCCTTTTTCCAAACAAGTTTCTCTCAACGAATGTAAAAGGCTTTGGGGAGACCTGTCTTTCTAGTATAAAGTACTGGTCTTTCCTTAACAGTCTTATAACGAATGTTGGAAGCAAGGTCCTCCTCACAGTACGCCGACTCCTTTGTCCTTTGCTTGCACCTATAATATAAGAATCCGGTTGCACTTCAATGATCTCTGTGTTTTCATTTTTCATTCTTTATTTAATGCTTTTTCTCTCTTTTTTTTGTCCATAGGCTACGAAGGAACGCCGCATGATTTTCTTGCTAGTGACTTGAAAAAATCCCATCGAGCCTCCAGGGTGAGTATCTAGAACGATAAACACTGTAATTTCTACTTCGTGATGTTTGCACTTTTTCCTTTTCACTATCTACTTTTCTGCCAGTTGAACAAATTAAGAAGAATTTATCTATAGTTATTAGCAACACGAGACGGGAATTTTTCTCCCCTAGGAAAGAAATATGTGTGCGAATCGCAATTTATTTTTTTCTTTTCACTACGAATATTAATTTTTAATTAATTTCAATGAAATCAGGGCTCGAACTAGGTCCGTAAAGTCCGTAATTTGATTGGAAAAGGACGAAAAGTTTATAAATTGAAGAATTTTAGAAAAATTACAATTGATTACAGAAATTCAATTATTTTCAAAAATAATAAAACTCATCGCAGACATTCAAAAATGTTCAAAAAATTTTTTAAATTCTCTTCAAAATTTCAATTATATTTTTAGAAATAATTAAATTCTTCTCTGAAATTCAATATTATTTTAAAAAGTTTTTATAAAATTCTTGGCAAAATTTCAATTATTTCCAAAAAATTTTCCTTAATTCAATGATTTTCAATATCTTTTATTTTAATAAAATTTTCCAAAACAATTCAATTATTTAAAAAAAATATTAATTAAATTCTATGCAAACATTTAATTATTTTCATAAAATAATAAAAATTTCACAGGAATTGTATTTTTAATACAATTTTAATCGAATTTCTCGAAAAGTGTAATTATTCTTAAAATTTTTATTAAAATTTGTCAAAAGAATTCAATTATTTAAAAATTTTTTAATATAATTCTTCGTAAAAATTCAATTTTAAGAAACATTCAACTATTCAATAAATTATTTATTTTTCAAATTCAAATTCTTCTGTAATTAGTCAAATTTTGTAATATATATTTAATTAGTTATTAAAAATAGTGGATTTATAGACAAATATCTTACTAAAAAATACTAAAAAAATTAAATTTTGGAAAAATTATAAATAATTGCATAAATTCATTTATTTTCAAAAGTAATAAAAATTCTTTTCCAAAATTTAATTATTTTTAAAATTTTTAATAAAATTCTTGGCAAAATTCAATTTTTTAAAAAATTTTAATAACATTTTTGTCAAAATTTCAATTATTTTTAAAAAATTTCTTCAATTTCATATGAATTCTATTACTTACAAATTTCTTCGCAATAATTTAATTATTTTCAATAAATAATCGAATTTTTTACAGAGATTGGATTATTTTCACAAATAATAAAATTCTTTTCAGGAATTCAATTATTTTCATAAATAAAACTCATCGCAGAATTTCAATTATGTTTAATACAATTTTAATCAAATTCTTTTGAAAAATGTAATTGATCTTAAGATTTTTATTAAAAATCGTCAAAAGAAATCAATTATTCAAAAATGTTTTGATAAAATTCTTTATGAGAATTCAATTTAAAAAAATTTAATTATTTAATAAATTATTTATTTTTGCATTTAGATAATTGAATTCTGGTAGAATTTTCTAATAAAAATTGATTTAAAACTGAATTTCAGTTAAAATTTTAGATTTAAATATTTATTATTCAAATTTTCAAATAATATTTGAATATTAAAAGCATTGCAGCGTGAATTTTTAGAAATAATTGAATTTTGAAAAGGTTTCAAATTAAAATCTTTGAAAATCTAAATTTTTCATATATTTTTAACTAACAATTCTGTGGAATTAATTTCTTTGAGAAAGTTTAATTGCGAATTTTTATTGAAATCATTTGGAGTTTTTATTTTCTAATATTTAATATTGAAGAATTTATGAATAATTGAAATTTTGTAAAATTGAATTGTAAGCAAATGAATTTGAAAATTATTAACGAAGTTTTTCAAAAATTGTTAAAATTAATGCATTTATAGAAGAATTTTAGTTAAAAACACAAAAAAAAGATTTAATTTTGGAAAAGTTACAAATTATTGCAGAAATTAAATTATTTTAATAAATAATGAAATTTTTACAAGGATTCAATTATTTTCTTATTTATTAAAAATAATTGATTTATAGTAGAATTTTAGTTAAAAATACGAAAAAAAATTTAATTTTGGAAAAGTTACAAATTATTGTAGAAAATCAATTATTTTCAAGAGTAATAATATTCTTCGCAAAAATTAAATATTGTTAAAAAATAAAAAAATTCTTCTTAGGATTCAATTATTTTCACAAATAATAAAACTCATCGCAGAATTTTAATTATTTTTAAACTTTATTACAATTTTAATCGAATTTCTTATGAAAAATGTAATTATTCTTAAAAAATTTTATTAAAATTCGTCGAAAGAATTCAATTATATAAAAATTTGTTGATAAAATTCTTTATGAGAATTGAATTTTAAGTAATTGGTCAGTATTTTTAAATACTTTGACTGGTTCGAGCCCTGTGAAATAAAAATTAATTTATTTAATTAATTTTACATTGAATTAATTTTTTTTAATATTTAAATTCAAGTGATTAATTAATTATCCCATGATTTATTTATTTTTAATTATTATTAAATTGACTAAAAATAAAAAAATAAAATTGCAATTTTATTTTTTACTTGACTGAAGAATTTAATTTAAAACTGACTAAAAAAATGGTAATTTTTATTTTCGCAGCACAAAAGAGCGACGGAAACAATAAGAGGTCCTTACAATGCAAACCGACAATCGAGATACGTGGAATTGGTTCTTGTGATTGACAAAAAGGAATACATGGCATTTGATGAGAATCTCGATAAAGTTTATCAACGCTGCAAGGATATTGCAAACATTATCAATGCGGTGAGTTCCTGAAATTCGTACAAATTATTACCATCAAATCCAGTTTGTTATTTCCCGTGCACTCAACTTAAATTTCAAGAGATTAATTCGAAACTTCCGCGATAAAGTTCCAAGTTCACTTCTCAAATTGAAATTCTCTATCTGGAAAATTACGAACTTTATAACTATCTTCTATGTATTTACTGAGAATATCCAAAAAGAAAGACGAAAGTAATTTTTATGAAAAAATATATTCATTCTTCAGTGTTCAATTTCTAATATTTATTTTTCAATCATTTTTTAAATATTCGTTTAATGTTTTTTTTATTTTATTATTTCAATTGAAATTAATTTACTTACTTTAAATTTAACTTTATTCACTGTTTCAATATTTATTTTTTTATTTCTGAGAAGTGTTTTATTAAAATAAAATAAAAAATTTATCAAATAATAATTAATTGATTCAAGTAAATATTTATTTGATAATAAACAAATAATTGGATATTTGAATTACGTAAATTTTTTTTTCACTGTAGCTTCTAATATTATTAAATATTTCTAATAGTACTTATTAGTATTTTTTCTTAAAATATGAATTTCCAAGAAAATTACTTTTCGAGAAAAATTAATTTAATGACTTTTCCGACTTTTTTAACAGTTTTATATGCCCCTTAATGTATTTATTGCACTGGTGGGCGTCGAAGTGTGGTCAGATTCAGATGAAATACCGCTCTCTGTTAATGGAGACTCGACTTTATCAAGCTTCCTGCGTTACCGCAGAGAAACACTAGTCAAGGCAATTCCAAATGATAATGCCCAATTATTAACGTAAGTAGAACTTTTCGTCTATTTCTATTTTAATATTTTCCATAATATTACAATTTAAGATTAACGTCCTCTGTAATTCTTCCTCTTAAGGTAAATGTTCTTCGTAAAATTGCATTCCTAAGATGGTCAATTTTTTTTTAAAATTATTTTTCAATACACTTTTTTTTGGAAAATAGATCAAGATCTAGATTTCCAAATTGATAAATGTACAATAATTAAAAATTTATTTTGGAAATTAGAAAATCGTATTCAGGAATTAATAAACAGTGATCAGAAATTCTAAAATGGTTCCAGGCCTCGGATATTATGACTTTTCTGACTATTTTTTATATGAAAAAATTACGATCTTTTCGATTTTTCTTCCAAATTTTGCAACAAAATACCACATTTTTAGTATAAAATACAACTTATTATGATTTTTATAGTGTTAAAAGTATATAGACAAATCTTGGAAAAGTTATTTTTGAATAATTTTTCTAATTAAATTTTGGAAATATATAATTAAAGAGATTTTGAATAAATGAAATTTTGTAAAATTTAATTGAAAATAAATCATTTTTCTTACGTATTTTATTACAATTTTTGAAAATAAAATAAATTAATTTTAACATTTTGGAGAAAAAAATCATGCTTAAAATTTTTAATTAAAATTCTTCGAAAAATTAAATAGTTTTTTTAATTATACAGAAATTCTTATTAGAAATTCAATTATTCTCGAAAAATTACATTAGAATATTTATAAAAAACTAATTCTTCGAATTGTTTTATCATAATTTTTTAAGATTCAATTACCGTCGAACAAAGCAAATTAAAATTGTTCAAAATTTCATTTTTTAGACTTATTAAAATTTCGGGAAAATCATTTTAAATTAAAATTCTTCAAAAATTTGATTTTCTTTTATATCTTTTAAAAACTCAATTATTTTGAAAAGATTTTACCAAATTTCAATAATTATTTTTAAAAGATTTTAACAAATTTCAATTATTTTGAAAAGATTTTACCAAATTTCAATTATTTTTAAAAGATTTTAACAAATTTTAATTATTTTGAAAAGATTTTACCAAATTTTAATTATTTTTAAAATACTTTACCAAATTTCAATTATTTTTAAAAGATTTTAACAAATTTCAATTATTTTTCAAAGATTTTACCAAATTTCAATTATTTTTCAAAGGTTTTACCAAATTTCAATTATTTTGAAAAGATTTTAACAAATTACAATTATTTTTCAAAGATTTTACCAAATTTCAATTATTTTTAAAAAGATTTTTACAAATTACAATTATTTTTCAAAGATTTTACCAAATTTCAATTATTTTTAAAAGATTTTTACAAATTTCAATTATTTTTAAAAGATTTTACCAAACTTCAATTATTTCTTAAAGATTTTACTAAATTTAAATTTTTTGGACATTTTTTAATTGTACCTAATATTGTAAAAATATTGTCTTTATTAAATTATTTAAAAATATTTTTAAAAAATTAATTTTAACAATTTCTTTATTAAATTTTTTGAAAATATTTTACCTTAATATATTTAATAAGAAAAATGAATAGTTTCAATTATTAAAAGATATTCAATTTTTGTATTGAAATAATTGAATTTTCGAAGAACTTTTTGAAAATTATTGAAAATTAATGTAGATAATTGATTTAGAGATGAAGTTTAGTTCAAAATTGTAGAAAATAATTGAATTTTGGAACGGTTATAGTTGTAATTTTTGTAAATTAATAAATTTCAGAAGTTGAAATTTTTTTAATTTAAAAAGTTTTTTTTCCCCTGAAAAAAGAAATAAGAAGTATTTAAATATTTATTTAGCAAAATTATTCGATGTTTGAATAATTGAATTTAGAAATCAGTGAAGAATCAGGGAAATACAAAATAAAATTGTTTGTGACAACACTGAATTAAATAAACGACCTTTTCGATTTTTTTTTCTTTTTTTTAATCGACCAAAGCGACTTTTTTGGTTCGTTAAAGTCGATCTGAGGCCTGTGATTCCAAAAATTGTGGAAGGGTGTTTTTTAATAATTACAACATACGCAATTGCCAAAAATCAATTTTTGAAATTTTCAAATCGATAAATGTCCAATATTTGAAAAGTTATTCCGAAAATTGTAAAATCGTGTATAAAAATCAGAAAATAGTGTTCAGAAATTCAAAATTACTTTTAGAAAATGTGGAAAGGTGTCCTAATCAATAAACATGTCACAATTGTCAAAAATCAATTTCTGATATTTTTTAAAATTAATAAAAAATAATTAAAAATTGATTTCGGAAATTACTTAGACAATCTTGTTCCAGAAAAAATTTTCTTTAAATAGTTTTTTTCTCTCTTTTTTGGTTAAGATCTAAATTTCAAATAGAAAAATGTAGTCCATTCTTTAAAAATTATTTTACCCACTTTTATGGAAAAAAATTCTCGATCTATATTATTTAAATAGAAAAATTAAAATAAATTCTTTTTTAGAAGATAAATTCTTTCTTTATTTTACTTTCGCTTGTAATGAAATCTAACAAAAATTTTCTTTTAAAGGAGGATACAATTTGACGGTGGCGTCGTGGGAAAAGCCCTGAAGGGACCAATATGCACCTACGAATTTTCTGGAGGTGTCTCCAGTGATCATTCGAATCAAGTCGGCGTTGTTGCAGCCACAGTGGCCCACGAAATTGGTCACAATTTTGGCATGGAACACGATGCGCCATCGCCCGAATGTGAATGTCCCGAAGAACGGTAAGTAATTGAATATTAAATTAAATTTTTCAATTATATTAAATAAAATCTTTTTAATATTAAATTAAATTTTTTTCATACAGTCATCTCTCGATAATTAAACTTTCCATAGATAGAAGTTTTTTTTTCTTCTCTAGAATAAATTTTGAAACTAAAAATTGAATTTATCGAATAATAAATGAAACGATCGGCAATTTGATTTTTTTTTTCCACGCCCCTTGAGATCGACTGTATTACTTTTACATTAAAAAATCGTGATTAAAATTTAGTAATTGAATTCTGAAAACAAAAATTTGCAGATGTATCATGGCACCATCGAGCGGATCCGCTGGTCCAGTTCATTGGTCATCGTGCTCATTGGATTATTTGGCACTTGCCTTTGAGCACGGAATGGATTACTGTCTACGAAATAAACCACAAAAGCTCTTTGACAGTCCAGTTTGTGGGAATAGTTTTGTCGAGCCCGGTGAACAATGTGACTGTGGCTTGAAGGAAAATTGCAATAATCCTTGTTGCGATGCTTCCACATGTATGCTTCATGCAAACGCAAGTTGTGCAACTGGTCAGTGCTGTGATCTCAAGACCTGTCGACCGAAAACAGCAGGCACCGAATGCCGCTCGGCAGAGCATGAATGCGATTTACCCGAATATTGTACTGGTCAAAGTGAATATTGTCCAAACGATGTTTATAAAATTGACGGCGAACCGTGCAACATGGGCAAGGCTTATTGTTATCAAGGATCTTGTCGCACTCACAATGATCAATGTAAATTACTCTGGGGACCCACTGGCGTTTCATCAGATCCACAATGCTACTCGATGAATAACAAGGGCAATAAAAATGGAAATTGTGGATTTAATCGGATCGATTCGTCCTACTATAAATGCAACAATAAGTAAGTGATCATTTTTAATGGAGGGGAAATTTAATATTCAATATTTAAATTATTCGAATTATTTATTTTATTAATATTTCGTTATTTATTTTGTATTTAATTATTTAATTATCAGGAAAAGTTACGCGCCCTAGAATTCAATTATTTTGCTAAATAATTAATTTCTTCGCAAGAATTCAATTATTTTCAATTATTCAAAAAAAAGGTTATTTAAAAATTTTTAGGAAAAATTCAATTATTTTAAAAAATTTTTACAACTTTTTAGAAAAAATTTAATTATTTTCAATATATATACAATTTTAAATTAATTAATTTTAATTTTCGTCAAGATTCAATTATTTTTGAAAATTCCTAGAAGGAATTTATTTTCCAAAATTTGAATAAAATTCTTCGAAAGAATTCAATTATTTTCATAAATAACAAAATTCTTTACACGAATTCAATTATTTTTAATTTCAATTATTTAAAAAAATGTTTAAAACATTTTAGAAAAACTTTAATTATTTAAAAAAATTTTTACAACTTTTTAGAAAGAATTCAATTATTTTCAATACAATTTTCAAAAATTTTCTTCAAGATTAAATTATTTTTAAAAATTCCTAGAAGGAATTTATTTTCCAAAATTTCAATAAAATTCTTCGGAAGAATTCAATTATTTTTATAAATGATAAAAATTCTTTACACGAATTCAATTATTTTCAATTTCAATTATTTAAAAAATGTTTAAAACTTTTTAGGAAAAATTCAATTATTTTAAAAAATTTTTACAACATATTAGAAAAAATTCAATTATTTTCAATACAATGTTCAAAAATTTTCTTTAAGATTAAATTATTTTTAAAAATTCCTAGAAGGAATTTATTTTCCAAAATTTCAATAAAATTCTTCGGAAAAATTCAATTATTTTAATAAAATTCTATTGGAATTAATAGAAACCTGTCATGAAATTTTCAAGAAAGGTTTCAATTATTTTTAAAAATTTTAACAACACTTTTCGAAAGAATTCAAATGTTTTCATTGATTTTAATAAAATTAAAGGAAGAATTGAATTATTTTCAAGAGATTTTCATAAAATTTAATAATAAAATTTTTAATTACAATTATTAACCTGGTTATTTTAAAAATTATTTGAAGAAATTAAATTCTTCTTCAAATTCAATTACTTTCAAATTCCTCAAAAGAATTTAATTATTCTTGAAAACTCCAATCAAATTTTTCAAAAGAATTTAATTTTCTGTCAATAATTTTAATAAAAAAAAAATAATAGTGAAGTTTCTAGAAAGAATTCAATTATTTAAAAAAATTTAATAAAATTCTTTGAATAAAAAAAAAAAAAAAAAAAAAAAAAAAAATTGTAATAAAATTCTAAGAAGAATTCAATTATTAAAAAAAAATGGTAATAAAATTCTAAAATCAAATTTTCAATTACAATTATTAAGAAACACATCTATTTTAAAAACTTGAGTGAATTTGTTCGTAAAATTCAATTACTTACTTTTCAATTTTTCAATTAAAATGACAAACAAAACTTTATTATTTAAAAAAAATTTAAAGAAATTTTTAAAAACGATTCAATTATTTATTTTCAAAATTTTTTTATAAGTTCCTGCATAAGAATTCAATTATTTTTATAAATAATAAAATTCCTCTTCAGGAATTCAATTATATTTTGATAAAGTTTCTCGAAAGAATTCAATTTTTTTTTTAAATTTTAATAAAATCCCTTGAATAAATTCAATTATTTAAAAAGATTGTAATAAAATTATAATAAGAATTCAATTACTTTTCAAATTTCAATTAAAATGATTAAGGAAACTCTATTATTTTAAAAAAATTTAAAGAAATTTGTTAAAACAATTCAATTATTTTCAAAAATTTGTTAGAAATTTCTGCATAAGAATTCAATTATTTTATAAATAATAAAATTCCTCCTCAGGAATTCAAATATATTTTGATAGTTTTTCGAAAGAATTCAATTTTTTTTTAATTTTAATAAAATTCTTTTGAATAAATTCAATTATATTCAATGATTGTAATAAAATTCTGATAAGAATTAAATTATTTTCTCAAAATTTTAATAAAATTCGAAAATTAAATTTTCAGTTAAACAATTATTAGCAGTAACGATAATTTTAAAAATTTGAAAGAAATTGTTCGTAAAATTCAATTACTTTCCTAATTTTCAATTAAAATGATAAACAAAAGTCCATTATTTTAAAAAAATTCAAAGAAATTTGTTAAAACAATTCAATTATTTCTATAAATAATAAAATTTTTCGCCGAAATTCAAAAACTTACAAAAATTATAGCACTTTTTTTACAAAAATCTTATCTTTTAAAATTAAAACAAAAATTCACTTATTAACGCTAAATTAAGTTAATTAAAATAATTTATAAATTTTTCTAATAAAATAAATAACATTAACCGTATTTTGCATTAATAAAACTTAGTTTTCCTGCATTAAATGGTAACTATTATAATATTTTACTATGTTAAATTAACTTATAATTTTTAATTGATAATAAGTTTTTTAAATTAAATTTTGTTATTATTCAATCTTCAAAACTTTTAATTAGAACTTCACTAATTTCAGAATTCATTTTATTTATATTTAATTGTTTAATTACAGGAGTATCCTCTGTGGTATGCTTCATTGTAAGCATTTGAATGAAAGACTCGAATTTGGAATGGAATCGGTCGCAACTCTCAGTCACTCGTTTATCAATAGCCAGGGGAATATTATTGCCTGCCGTTCTGCAATTGTTGATTTAGGTCTTAATGAAGTTGATCCTGGACTTGCGCCCGATGGGGCAAAATGTGGACCCGGAAAGGTGAAAACTAATTTAATTCCTCATTCACAAAAAGTTCCTATCTTAATTCAATTTTAAGTTATTTTAAATTTATTTTTTTAAATTCCTTTTTTCAAAGAAAAAAATAATCTCTGTACAATTTCAGATGTGCGTGAATCAAAAATGCATGCCAGTGGCCGATCTACGAGCGAAAATAACCGAGGGACACGCATGTCCGAATAATTGCGGTGGAAATGGAGTTTGCAACAGTCTCGGACACTGTCACTGTAATCGAGGTTTTCAATATCCTGATTGCACACAACCGGGATTTGGCGGTTCCGAAGACAGTGGCCCCGCTGAGGATCCAAATGGTAAACAAATAAAAATAAAAATAAAAATTAGAATCAATTGTCATTTTTTTTTTTAACTCAATTTTGGAATTGATTTTTCTTTTAGCGAGAAACGACTTTATCACTGCTACCTACATTATTTTCCTGGGTGTATTACCGACAATCGGTTTAGTCTTATTTGGCCTCTGGTACAGGAGGAACAATCCAAATAAACAATGGAATAAAGGAGCGCTCTCTAAGTACGTATTTAATGTCGACTGTTTTAAACCAAAGCGTAAACCGTGTGCGCCAACAACGATACCGGTTTACAAAAGTCAAAAAGGCCTTAGTGAGCGAATTCTAGTCGCTTTAATGCCGAAAAAAAATCCACCATCACCACCTCAAAATACAAATAAAATATTCTCTCTCAGTGATCAATTATCGAATAAAGAGAAACTTGAAATTGTCAAAAGCAATCTCGTCTCGACAACAAATCCCGATATGATTAATTGTAGTAATAATATTCAATATAGAAATTCATTGAACGATCCAAAAGTTGAATTTAGAAATCAGCCGAGTTTGAAAATTCAAGTTAATTCTAATGAAAATCAGTCGGATGCTACATCAAAGAGGATAAGTCCTCTTAAGATGGACTTGGGATCCAAATTGGCGGATCACATACAGCAATTTCAGAAAGGATCTAATAGAAACTTTAAGGGTCTCAAAGTTCAAACAGAGCTTAAGTTTGAGCAATTGAATGAAAGTCCTTCCAGCACTTCTGGTACTGCTCCAAATACTTGTGAAACTTTGCTAAAGGATAAATCTAATTTAACCTCTAAAGCTCCATTTTATAACAAAAAACCACCACCACCTCCACAGTGAAACTAAAAAACTTTTAACTCTTTCACACATTAAATTACACTTCGATATTCGAGTATTTATTTTTCCAAGTATTATTTTTTTTCTTATCCTTTAGACTGATGAAAATTTATTATTTAATCTATTAAATTTGAAACAATATTTTCAAATTTTCAAATTTATTTCTTAGTTTTTAATATATTAGATTAAATGTTTTTAAAAATTTTATTTATCTGTAAAGAAAATGAGCTTAAATTTCGTCTTTTGCCAATATTATATAAGATCGAAACGAGATTGCTTATGAATTTCATTTCAACTTTCACTGCCCCAAAAAAAAGTCAGGTTTTAGTGAAAGAGACTTAAAAAAAATGATATTAAAAATTTGTAGATAGATAAATTAATGTATTAACGATGCAGACGCTTGTACTTATATTGCAAAGTATCGAGAGAATATCTTAGAAAATTGAGGGATCTCTATTTAATATTTGAAAAAAGAGATATTAGCATTTATTTACTCAATTATTGACAAGTAATCCTGTGATCGTATCAAATAAGTAATTTTAATGCCGAATATATATTAATAGATCATATAATGACTCTCCTCGCATCATATAAATCTATTTTTCATAAATAATATCACTTTCCTTTGTTTTAATTTCAATAATTTCTTTTTAAAAATAAGAAACTATTGATAAATATCAATAATTGCTTTTTAAATTCAATCTCGTTTGAAATATTTAATAATTAACGTGAAAAATAATAAATTGTTGCGAATGCGAAGAGACGAAGCTCAAGTAGTAATAATATAAAATCTAGTAGAAAGCATGGTTTGTTGTTTGCATGTAAATTCGATATTGAATTTTTCCTGCGAGTCTTGCGAATTTTATTTTGAGAAAAGAAATTAGAGTGCAAGAGTTGGACTGCATGCTCAATTTTTTTTAGTGAATATACGTATTTAAATGGCAAAATAAAAGTGTCTTTTGAGAGATTGATACTTTTTCCAATTGTAGTGCTAGTAAATTTTTTTTATACTCATTTTGAACAAATGGCGAAACTATTTATGAATATTGCACGGGCATGTGTGAATTGTCTCTTTATCGTGAATTGTTTTGTCTTAATGTGCATCGTGCAGAATGTTTATAATTTTGTGTATCGATGATATTTTTCGTCTCGATTTACGAAAACTTATTATTTTCTTTAATCTCGAATTTTATATTTAAAAAAAAAAAAAAAATACTCAAGAAAAAAGCACTACTTTACACCTGCATTGGTTTTTTGCTGTAACATTTTGTGCAATAAAAGCAATTCTCAGATAAAAAAAAATTGATAAAGACTCGTTCTATTTACCTGTTTTAATCATTTTACTTTTCCTCCTTCCAAAGCTTGCTACTAATATTACAATCTCGTTAACAGTTTCCCTACTTTTTTTTTAATCTCGTTTGCTTGATTATAAGTTGGTTTTGATGCTTAAATTTTTTGCATGCTTTAGAAACCTTTTTACTACTCGTTACGTAAATGAGCCTGTCCTTTTCATTCGACATTACAAATATTAAAAGACAAAAAAAATGTCAGCGACACTTTCGAATTATTTCAATAAAATCTTGCTTTCCTCCTACAATCCAGGCTTACAAAGATTTTTTGCTTCACATTTCAGGATCACTCGTGGAACATTGCCAATCAAATCGAGCGACCGTTCAAATCCCTTGCCGCGAACAATTGAGACGATTGACTCGAGCCTCAGTCAAGACCCGGCGTGCGCAAGTTTACTCCCAAAATCCGATTCCGACGAGCGTTACAACAACAACTTCTTTGGACACTTCAAAGGCTTCAGTATCACTCCCATTCAAAATCAATCGCATTCCGAGCCAACAAAGCCAGCCCCACTTCCACCCACTGTTCCAACAGTGGCAATCAAAACCAACATCAAACCACTGCAAAGGATCAACAGTTTTCGCTCAGCACTTTCAAGTCCACCCGTCAATGTTCCCACAATTGCACCAGCACTCCCGCCACTCAATCCCGGAAGCACTGCCAGGCCTTTAATCAGCAGCCCGGTTCTAGCCGCCACCACCTGCACCTCACTCGAATTAATCGGCTCAAAAAACTCAAACCCCGATAATCCCGTCCGTCCAGCTCCCGATATTCCATCGTCACGTGCCGTGCCCGACGTCCCAACACGTCCAGCACCCGATCCACCGCGGGAAAAATCAACCAGACCCCTCTCGAGCACAACACAATCATCAGACTCATCGGACTGTCCGAAAAAGGAGAAATCAGAAAAAGGCAAAACTCTAAATCGACTCGCATCAATGCTGCGTCCAAACTCCGGCATCATAAAATCAACTTCACAACCTCTCGCCAGCAATACAAATTCCCTCCCCCGCTCCCAACATCACAAGGCCAATAAAGTCATCGACAAGGAAATTCTCCGCAACCTAGAAATTTCCCACCCAATCCCCCAAACGGAAATCGAAATCCCAACCTCTACCATTCTCATCAACAAGAACGAATCGCCAGAGAAAAAAATATCCCGAGCTCACTCAATGCGCGACAAAGTCTCCCAAAGACCAGCAATTCACACCTTCGGCTCCATGCGACAGAGCAATTCCCTGAAACGACCCACCAGCATTCCGGCCAGTACCCGACCAACTTCTCCTCCCCCAGGACCGCCAACTGCAAAACTCGAGACTGGAATGAAAATTCCCGGACTACCCGGCTATCAAACCCCCTCGATCAAGCCGAACATTCCCGACAACACCTACGACGACTGTATGAATCTAATACCCGACCCCTCGCTCACAAAAATAGCCGAGGAGTCACAATCCACCGACAATATTTACGCCGTAATTGAGGAACCACTGCCGGAAAAAAAAGAAGTTCAGAAAAAACAAGAAGACACCGAGTACAAAGCACCAAAACCCATCGGCCCAACCACCGACGGTCCCATTGACTCAATGGGATTATTATCCGAAATCGTCTCTGAAATATCAAACAGAAACTTCGATTCCATCTACTCTACGTCGACCATAGCCAGGAAGAAGAAGAAAAAACAACTCGAAGACGACACCTATGTGAATTCAACAAGCGAAAAAACTCCCGAAAGCATTTATTCCAATTCCGAATCGGGGGCGTTCAATTCCGCCAGTTCGACGACAAGTTCCGGTTATCTTCACCCCTCGGCTATTAACATACCCCTTCACTTGAAGAACTCAAAAGTCACCGAAAAAACGAAACAATCACCCGAGAAAACAAAACAATCACCCGAGAAAACGAAACAATCACCGGAAAAAACGAAACCTGGCGAAAATTTCCATCGACCATTCGAGAAGAGTCAGGAAAAAATCGAAAAACACCCAAAATCGAAAAACGATGAAAAATCCCCTACAGATTCAAAAACAAAAACTAGTCATCAAGAAAAATTAAAACCTGTATTAAAAACTCAAAATTCCGACTCGAATCTAAAAGAAAAGAAAAATTTCGATAAATGTGTGCCTTCAAAGGAAAGATTTCAAAGTCCTGATGTTGTGACAAGTTGCTCGAATTCCCAAAATAGTACAAAATCACCAGACGTGTTGATAAATAATAAAATTACAACGAAAGTACAACAAAAAATGGGAAATGGAAAAAAAACACCAATAATGCCACCAAAACCAACGGGTTTGTTATCAAAAGCTGCGAGTTTTGCTGAGAAGCAAAAATTATCAACTGCCAATTTTAATAATAATAGTAGTAGTAGTAGTGGTAGTAGTAATTTGACAAAAATTGCGGGAATTAATGTCGGGAAAAATGAGACAAAATCTATGGAAATGATGGGAATTAAGACCAGTTTAGCTAGTAAGTTAGGAAACAGTAAATCTAATGTTGCATCGTTACAGCAAAAATTTGAGCAACCTGTTAAAAATTCTTCGTCGTCATTATTATTAACTAAATCGCTGCCAGTTGGTGTTAAAAAGACACAAGAGACGCAAGCAACTATCGATAAGAAATGAAATTATTATTGATAAATTGTTTACGTTTCATTCAGATTCTAGTCTTTTTTTTTGTTTTGTTTTATGTAAATAAGAAAATTTGTAAATCGACTGAAAGTGAAGTTTTTGAGTTTTTGGAAATGGAAATTTAAATTTAAATGAAATTCGTTTCATTTGCTTTAAAATTAAATAAAAATAAAAAAAAAATTAAGAGTGAAAATGGGAATAAAAAAAATGAAAAAATAAGATTGAAAATAACAATTTTTGATTAGTTTCAATTTTTAATTTTGAAACAATATAAATTCTAATTCAGAAAAAATTAATTGCTTTTTCTATCAATTTATCTCTTTTCTAAATTTAATTTTCCGTTTTCTTAAAATTTACAAAACTTCTGCTTTATTGAAAGTGGTGAATTTATCACACACGGTAAATGAATTTTTCGAATTGTTCCAGTTCAAATTTATTTATTTTTTTGTTGCAAAAATGTTATGAGTAAATTTTGTTTATTATTAAATATTATAATTAAATTATAAATATAAATATTTAATATTTAAATATCATAAAATATTAAAATTTGTTAATATATTTTGTAATTTGAAAATCTTGTTTAAAGATTAGCAAAATTATTTTCGCTCGATTATCATTTTTTGGTAATAAATAAAATTTTATTTATTCTTATAAAATAAAAAATGCACGAAGAGAGAATAGATATTAAATTTTGTAAAAGTATTTTACAATTTGGGGAAAAGTGTAACAAAGCAAACTTTTTATATAAAAAATACTAAACTTTAAAAAAACTTATGTGAAACTTAGTAAAGTTATATTAAAATTTAATTAATATTTTTGATATTTGCTATAATTATACTAAATTTCGCATTAATTTTTTTAATGTTTAGTATTTTTTATTTGAAAATTTCGCTTTGTCGCATTTTTCCCCAAATTGAAAAATACTTTTACGAAATTTAATATATATTCTCTCTCCGTGTGCTTTTTGACTTATTATAATTTTTCATTTTAAAGTAATAAATAGAAATTTATTTTTCTAATTTATATGTAATTTATTTTATTTTTGAAAAATAAAATAAAATTTAATATTCACTTTTCGTTAAAACCGTTTTTTCTAATGAGTTTCAATTAGAAAAAAATTTAAATAAAATTTGTTCAAAATTCATTTGAAATCTTCAATTTTCATAATGTTTTAATCTTTTGTCAATTTTTTTAATTTTAATTTTAATCAAATAAATGAATTTAATAAATTTAATCAAATAAATAAATTTAATAAATTAATAAATTTAATCAATAAAAAAATGAATCTTGAACTGAAACAATTTAAAAAAAAGATGCCATAAATTTCGAAAAGCTCTGCCACCGAATGTTTACCAAATAAAAAGCATTTTTCTATTTGATCACAATAGATTTAAAAGAAAATGGATTCATTGCGAACGACACACTTGAAGTATTTGTATTCGAAAAAATGTAAATAAAACGTATGAAATTTTAATGTATAAAATTCAAATATATTCAATGGTTATTGATATTCCATTGATTTTGCATATTAATTGTTATCCATTAGAATATTTCAGTTATTATCTATACATATATATATATTATATATTTACACAAAGCTTTTTTATATCTATCCAGAAAATAACAAAAACAAAGAATACACATACTGGTAGCATTATTTTTCAAAGTTACACTCGAAGAGGTAAAAAAAAGAAACAAAAAATATAGGATACAATGAAATATGTAAAAGTGAACAAATTTGCAAAAAAAAACTCTGTGATAATATGTAATGAACGAAAGCAAATCAACATTGTAAAGAATAATCAAGTTCAAAACTTGACAAAATCCAAACACATCATATCTTATTTAATTTCCACTTAAATAGAAAAAGAAAAAATACATTGTATAATAATATATTTTCTAAAATAATCCCAGTTCTTTAAAAAAAAGAAAATATATTCCACAAAAGAGTAATTAAATAAATTTCTTTTAGATATTTCGATTTTTTTTTTTGAAATGGGGATAAAAAATTATTCCATAAAAAGAAATTAATAATGACTTTAATTTTATATTCTGATGATGAATATGAAAAACAAATATAAATATTTAATTTTTATATGTGCAAGCGCTACTAATGTAAAGACTAGCAAATATTTATTTGACTGAACCATTGTAAATATGTTTATAAAAGTGTAGATTAAGAAATTTTTGTACAACGTAACGCCGTGCTCATACAATTATAATAAGAAAACAATACTTTATTATTATAATATAAATATGTGCAGCTTTAGAGATTAGATTCGTAAAATCTTTTTATTGAACATGACGCGATCAATTTCTAATCATTTATTACGTTTAATGATAATTTAATGAATATGACATTTAATCGTACGATTAATCGTCAATTAATTTCATTAATTTTATCACCCATAAAAGGTAATAAAACCGTTTTTAGTATTTTCGAATTTTTATTTCACTTTCCGATAGAATTATCGGAAAAATTTATTTATTTTCAAAATATTTTAATTCTAATTTCTAAAAGAAAAAAATCGAAAACATGTAAATATAAATGTAATATAAAATAATATTTATATATTTGAAATTTTTTAATAATAGGTATATAAAATTAAATTTTGTTTAAAATTTATGAAAATTTCGAAAAATGTTAAAATTGATCTCTTTAAATAATATTTTAACATTTTTTTTCATTTCGGCAAATTACTTAATTATTTTTGAGATTAAAAATTTTAAATCCAAAATTCTTTTGTTTTTTAAAGTTTAAAAAAAAACTTTCGTGTATGTTCAATAAAAAAAAATTGCAATAAATATTGTATATAAATTAGACTATGAATATTAAAAATAGTTTCTTGAGTTTGAGATATTTTCCTCTTTATGTCACACACATTTGTATTTTAACGACAATCAATTTATGTATTTAAATTTAGAATATGTGTCCGGTAAAACAATAGAAAATTTCGTTTACAAATTCGTGATTTCGACTAAATAAATAGAATTCTTTTTTCAATAAAAAGAAGATAAATTAATAAAATACAATAAGTTCTCAATAAAATGGAATAAATTTTCCATAAAAGAAAATTTTATTAAAAAACATCAATTTTGAATAAAATATAATGAAATCTCAGTAAAAGAAAATAAATTCTCAATAAAATGAAATAAATTTTCAATAAAATAAAATTTTATTAAAAAAAATAAATTGTTAATAAAATACAATAAAATATCAATAAAAGAAAATAAATTTTCAATAAAATAAATAAAATGAAGTATTTTCTGTTGTGTAGAAAGTACAAAGTTCTCTAACAAAAGAAATAAAGAAATAAAAGAAAAATTTGATAAAGAAAAAACCAATTTATTTTAATAAAGTACGAATTTTTCGAAATATTTTCAAATAAATTGAAAACAGAAAAAGTTTATTTAGTCTAAATCAAGCATTTGATAGGGAAATTATTTTAGTGTTTAATTTTATTAAAAAAAATACTTTTTCAAACACTTAGAAATTTATGTATTGCACTCAATACTCAATACCAAAGATACAACATTTTTGCTATTCATAAATCCATCAATGTCTTCAAACTTTAAAATAATCAATGTAAATTTCGCATTATATATAAGTATGTTATAAAATAAATTCTTCAATATAAAATCAATCGAATAAAATCAATTACACCTTTCCTAGTTGAAAAAAAATTCCTATTCAAAAAATTATTTAAAATCCTAATTCTTAAAATAAAAAAAAACCATTTTTAATCATTTGTTTGAATTAATACCTAATCGAATTTCAATAAAAAAACGAAAATTGAATTTTAATTCATAATTCAAATTTAAAGTGAGCCAATTAAAATAAGTTTAAATTAACATTTTTAAAAAAATGTATTTATATTTTATTATTTTAATTAATAGAAAAAAAATACCGAAAAACGGTAAATTTTTCTTTTAAAAAAAAATAAATAAAGAAAAGAAAATAAATAAAAATAAATAAATAAAAGAAAATAAATATGTAATAAATAAATAAAAATAAGTATAATAAATAAAAAAATATGCAAAAATTTTAACAAATTTTTAAAATTTATTAATTTTATAAATATTTGGAATATTCTTAACACTCTTAACAAAGTAAAATATTTTTACTTTACTTCGGGCGAAAACGTGAATTTTCGGAAATTTCTCGAGGACCATCGGAGAATCGAAGGTGGGATTTTTTCGAAAGATAAAAATTAGTAATAGCGCATGCGTAGTCCTCTCGTGTTGGCGTTGGCGAACAACTGTTAAAAAAATTGGTTCAGAAAGAGGCGAAATCAGAAGTTTGTTGACGCGGGACTACGCTTTGTTATAAAAAAAAAGTTTTTTGTCTCGTTTCATTGAGAAAAAATGAACAACATAATTTAACAAACAAAAGAAAATTTAATCCAATTAATCACAAAAATTATAACGTTTTTAAGCGTGTGTATCGTATAATATTTGTGTTCAACGTTCAAAAGTGTTTGTATTGTAATAGAAGGTGGTGGATATTTTAATTGTCGCCCAGTTCTCTCTCTCTCTGGCCATTTCTCTCTTCCCCCATTTTTTTGAGTGTAATTTTTTTCCCACCAAAAAAAAACATGGCTGACGCCGAAGTGGAACTCGAAATTTGCACTATTCTACTTATGTGTTGAAAATAATTATAAATTATTTCACTTTGGAGAAAAGCAAGGGAATTTATAAACACTGTGCCTGGTGTGTTATATTGCTTACAATCGAAACTAACCTCAATTTTGAAAGAGGTGGTTTTTTAAAGCGCACGTAAATTTATTACAAACAAGTGAAACAAAATCACATTATTTTTTTTTGACAATGTGTCGACAACAAAGAACATTTTTCGAAAACAATTATCCTTTTGGAAATAATTATAATTAACAAGTGAGGAAGCGTCTTTGGAGTTCTAGAATTTTTGTCAACACGCACACAACTCTCCTGCACCCTTTTCTATAATTTGGCCCTGCAGTTAAACCTTGAAAGATGTCTTATAAATCCGTGCCAAACATTTTAAGTCGAAACATCAATATTACTTGTTCCAAAATTGGCAGCAACTCCGCCCTTTCTGAAGTAAGTGTATAAATAATTTCATTATTGAAATTCATTATTTCCTTTGTTTTTAAAAGAGTACGTGCATAATAATAATTGACTACTTCCTGAGGTACTTTCGACTGTTTGTAAATTTATTAGTGAATTTTGAATTTATATCTTGTTTGGAAAATTGTTTAATCACTTGTTAAAGAATTTCGAAATTTTTCTAAATTTTTGATTAGTAAAATTTAACTAAGTTGCTATAGTTACCAAGTTCATTGATCAAATTATAAGTAATTTCTTTGCTGAATTTTAATATTTGCAATTTTTTATACGTAGACTGACATTTACCTTTTGTGATTTATTAATAATATATTGGATTCGCATCATTATAACATTTTTCAAGTTTTTATCTTTTTGAGACCATTTTAAAAACAGAATGTTTAATTTTATATTTTTTTCGCCTTGAACGATGAAATAAAAATAAAAAAAGGCAAAAATTATGCTATCGTAAAAGTGTCTGCGATTAAAACCGGTTTTCTCCTATTTCGTATATTTTTCGATTTGTAATAAAATTTAAATATTTGTCTAAAAAATGAAATTACAAAATAATAAATACAAAATTTATTTTTTCCCCAGGTTTTAAAATCGGACGCGGTGAAGCGTCTCTTCAATCAGCCGAACATCATTATCAAAACGATTCCTCTCGACGAGCCATCAGATTCAAATTTAACGAACACAAATGGCTTTCCTGACAAGAGAAACGGAATTCATGACGATTTGCCAAATGTATTTGAACCTGACATATCAATTCATGCAGTAAAACCTACGAGCAGTGTCGAAAAAATAGACGATTCAACATTGTTGCCCTCGAAGAATGAGGGAAAATCGGAAATTGCCCTTGTTCCAATAAAGCGCAAGAAGAAAAATTGCAATCATTTTGAGCCGTGCGAGAATATTATTTGTGACGTTAACGTAGAACAATACGTCGATCAAGATGGAGTCGAGCCAATGCTTGCCATTAATATCGACGAAGACGAAATAAATGCCCCAGTCTCAAAGCACTGCAAAAACGAAAAATGCGATGCCCTCAATATCGATCACGATCGTTGTCGACGTGCACTAATCAAACTCAATCGAGTCGATAGACGTGGTCCCTGTGATATCTGTGGTCTTAGACTAAAATACAACAAATCCCGAATCCATCATCGCAATTGCAAGAGAAAAAACGAATATCGTCACAATGAAAACGACGGTGCACAAGTTCTACGGGAAAAATTACGCGAACGAGAACTACAACTACTCGAAGCTGCCAAGTTGAAGAAAAACGACTACATGGATCCCGTTAATGGTTACAGTAAGGCTTTGGAAGCTCTACAAAACAATGACGAATTAATCGTCATTCCAAAAACAACAACACCCCAACAAACGCCAATTATAACCATCACCACTGTACCAAGTAATTCGGGAGTAAATCAACAATTTCCGAATATAAAAGACGTGTTCGGCAGTATTTTGCCAAATCTCCCGATAATGCTCTCTCAATCAAACGTTGTTATCGGCAAGAAAATCGAGGACCGCTCCTCACCACCGCCTCTGAAACCAATAAACAACACAACCGGTGGGACTTTGACCCAAATTTTACAAAATCCCTTCATTAAAGTCACGGGAATTCCCCAGGGTAGTTTCGTCCAACCGATGTCGATCAACGACTGGCTAATGACGCAGCAAGTCGTCACAACGCCAATACAACCCAAACCCTTCCTAACACCCATTCGCGTCGTCCCGATCGCTAATCTCAAAACCCAACCTTCTCTTCTTCATCAAACCCAAGGCATTCCCAGGTTCTGCATCATGACCGACACCGGGATTCGTGTACCAACTCCGGCCCAAACGCAGCAGCAGCAGCAAACTCCCCAAGTTACCCAGCAGCCAATACAACCGAAACCACCCAAAACTCAACAGTTGGTACCTCAGTTACAAAAACAACCACAAAAACAACCGACACCAAATATAATAAAATTCCGCGTTGTACAACCGGGAACGGAGGTGAAACTCGTCACCACCTCGGCTCAAGAGGCAAGAGCGGCGAAGAATCGAATATGGAAGAAGAACGCCCGTCTTCGAAAGAAAAGAGCCGGACGAATGTTCAATTGCACCTACTGTCCGAAACGCTTCTCAACCGATTGGTACTTCAAGATGCACGTGGCGCGACACCGAGGCGAAATGCTATTCTCCTGTAAACTTTGCGAAGAACCGTTCAGCAATAAATACGATATCAAGAAGCACGTTGGCAAGGAGCACAAGGAAGGTCAAGTACGCTGTGAAGTCTGTGGTTTTATCTTCCCCTCCGAGGACGATCTGCAAAAACACATGAAATCCACCACACGTTTAATGTGCGAGGAATGTAGGCAAACATACAAGACATGTACAATTTTACTCGAACATCAAAAGAAGCATGGCTCTGTTGTTTGCGTACAATGTCGAATACAAGTACCAAAATTAAGGTACAAAAAGCATTTATTGGTACAACATGGTATGTCAAAGACAAAAATTGAAAATGAATGCACAAAAATGAAATGTCCGATTGATTGTGATTTTGCGAATGAAAAGGGTGAGAAGAAGAGTAATGGAATTAAGCAAGAAATTAATTACGACGAGACTGATTCAATTAGCGATCAAATTTCAATTCAGGATGAAATGACATTTATTAAGGAGGAGAGTAATGGAATTGATTCGGAGGAGGACAATGATAGTGATGATGAGGGGGCATTGGAGATTAATGAAGACGGCGATGAAACTGAAATTGACGAGGAGGATATTAAATTGGAATTGCCGAGAGGCTCTTATGAATGTCCTGGATGTGGCGATGATTTTGATACTGAGGATGAACTCTCCGAACATAATGATACCTGTCTACGAGCCGCTCTCAAACTTTGTAAGTCGAATTTTTAATTTCTCAAGTTTTTTAATTTATTTACTTTTCCAGTCGAGGAACTTCACAACATTTATGATCAACGATTGAAAGAAAAAAAAATATTTTTCTTGGCGAAAACAAATTTAAATTTGTTTATAAAAATTTTTCTTTTTTGAATTTGTTTCGATCAATAGATGAAAATTTGTTTTTATGCAATGAAAACATATTTTCTCTTCGAAATCGTTGATTATAAACATTGTAAACTTCAACAAAGTTATTTTTTATTTTTACAATCCACAATTTCTGAACGTTCAAATGAACAAAGTCTTTTGTCGATAGAAATATTAACAAAAATAATTACAAAATATAGATAAAATATTAAATATTAACAAAATAAAAATATTAAAAATAAATATTAATTTACAAAATAAAATTATTTCAATATAAAATAAAAGGTGAAAAATATCAAAAAGTTAAATTAAATATTTAAAAAAATATAATTTTTTTTCGTTCTTAACAAAATATAAAATTTGAATTAAAAAAAATAAATTTTGTTCACTTTAACGTTCAGAATTTAGGAAACTTAAATCAATTGTAGTCAACTTTTTTCTTTGTCTAAATTTACAGAATTTCTATAACATTTTTTCAAAAATCTAATTAAAAAAATTCTGTATTGCGAAATTTAAAGAGAAAATATTTTTTCAGCCCTGTTGAAGAATCCGAACAAAAGTCAATCGAACTGCGATTTAGGTAATAAAACTTCATTAATTTGAAATTAAAAATACAATTTTCGCCAGTTTTACTAAAAAATTTAATAAAAATTTAAATTAATTATTAAATTCAATTTAAAAAAAATTATTTAATGAATAATTTTTCTTAAATATTTCAAAATTAATTGAATTTTGAAAAGAGTTGCGTTAACATTTTTCATAAATAGATAAAATTCAAAAGATTTTCATTTGAAATTTAATAAAATTTAAATTTTTAATGAATTTAATAAGAAATTTTCAAAAACTTAGATTTTTGAAAAATTTTAATAAATCAAATTCTTCTGAATTTAGTTAATTTTTTAAATATATAATTAATCAATTTATTATTAAAAATGACAATTTTAATTAAATTCTTCGAAAAAGGTAAAGTATTCTTAAAAATTTTATTAAAATTCGTCAAAAGAATTCAATTATTTAAAAATTTGTTGATAAAGTTCTTTATGGGAGTTGAATACAACATTTTTTTGAGTATCTAATCATTTTTAGATCGAAAAATTAAAAAAGAAAAAATTGTAAACATAAAAATATTACTTTTTTCTGCAAAAAAATTGTTTGACTCTAATTGTTGATCGTAAGCGTTTAAATTTTTTTTTTAATATTTAATAAAAATTCGATTTACTAAAAAAAAAAATCTGTCTTTTCCAGCGTTTTCAAATCGAGTATCGGAAAATGGAAGGAAGGAGAACAAGGAATCTTCAAAATCAGCTGAGACAACGTAGACAAGAAGAAAGAATAATTCCCTTCATATTTTCGAGAAATTGGGCCTAATATTTGACTTTCTAGTTGGAAGAATTAGAATATATTTCGAAATATTCTCGAATGTTTCAATGAGTCACACACAACATCACTAAAACGGTTTGTGTTAAAATAATCCTAAAATACATCACAAAAAAAAATTTGTAAAAGTTCCAGTTTCAGTTTTACAAAAGAAAAATAGTTTTTAATTTATTTTTTTATACTATCTTTTAATCTATTTTTATTTTTTGTAATTATTTTTATTATAATTTTTACTCGAACTTTTACAAATTACAGACAATTTTATTGTACAAAAATATCACTCTCTTGCTTTTGTATGAATTACAAAATAGATTTTTGTTTTTACAAATTTTGAAACATTTGACAAATTTCAAATTTTGTAGATGAGTTTTATTTTAAATTTGATAATTTATCAATCTTTTATTTTCTACAAAAAATTATTTCTTTTAGTATCAATACAAATTTTGTATTTTCTTTTATTACGAAAGTAATAAAAATTGTAATTTTCCTTTAAAGTGGGAATTTTCTTTAAGAAAAAAAGTATACGTCGCACAGTTCATAAAGAAAGTTTGCTTTTATTTTAACCAAAAATTGTAAAATACCGAAATGTATTTCACAATTTTTCAATTATTAATGCTCATTAAACTATCTAGTTTTTGAATATTTAGCTAAAAGAAAAAGAGAAATATTTCTGTTTGAAACTTAGCCTGGGACAAACAAAAGCTCAAAATATGGTAAACCGTATACGAGTTATTTTTGTCATGTAATTTAGAATAATTTTACTGTAAATAATTCTTTACTCAGTGAATTGCCCGGTAAAATTTTTTATAATAGTATGTTTAAGACATTTTTTCCGGAAACGTTTTTTTAACGTTACAAATGTTTATTTTAAACCTTTTTTATTATTATTTTTCTTAATGAGAACAATTACAAGAATTAAAATTCTGAATTTAAAATAGAATTTTTCCAGAGAAAAAAAGGAACAAAAACAAAAGAAACAAAAAATTGGAGATATTTTTCGGAATTATTTAGAATATTTTTCTGCTAATCTTTTTTCGATTATACATTAAGTTTTCTAAAGAGCAATTAAAAATAGAGAAACAAATATTTTATGTACAGAATATTATTGTAGATGTTAAGAGAATAAATGAAATGAATGTAAGTGTTACAAAAAAAAGACTTCGAATTGAAAAAAACAAATTAGTTTTCCATAGATTTTTACTTATTTATTACAATTGCGATATTCTTTTTCATTTTGTAAAAAAAAGTTGATAGTTTATTAGTCAAAAAAAGCGTTATGTGTAATATTAATATCTATATATTTATAAAGCAATATTTGTTGCTTTTTTGACTTTTCCGCTAACATTACAGAACATTACTACCGACTGACATTCAATGCAATCCCAGATTCGAAAACAATTTTCAATTTATTTTTATTTCTTCTACGAAAAGTACCACGAACTTTTCGTATTATATTCATAATTATAAAACATGAAAAGAAATTATTTTCTTTAATTTTTATCACTTTCGATAGTGCAAAGTGAGAATAGTTCTATAATTGTAAACGTGAATATATTACGCAGATTTTTATAATCATAATCCGCTTTTAAACGTAAATGTTCCTAAATTAGGAATTATTATATAAAAACACAGTGTGCCTTCTAAATTCGAAATGTTCCTTATCACAAATAATTTTATGTTCATTTTTTTAATTTGGGGGATTGTTTTTGTAGCTTCAACCAAAATCGTGGTTATATAGTCTGATTTCTTCGTTTATATTTTATTTAGTGATTTTAGTCAAATTCGGAGACTGTTGAAAAATTATATATTAAAAAAAAAACAGTCAGTGCCGAAATATCGTCTATTATTTACTTGCCTTTTTAGCGTATCTTTTTTATTAAAATAGTTATCAATTAAACTTCATGTTAAATAATTTTGCAATATTTATGGAATTTTCCATTTTCTTGTAAATTGCGGGAAAATTCTTGTATATTTTACAAAGAAAAATTAAACAAAAGAAAGATATAATTTATTATGGAAACTTTCAATTATAAAGAGTTGGTGTAAAGAAGTTTAATAGATTTCTAATTTAATCACATCACAAGTGAAAAAAACGACTCACTAAATTCTTTTTTCACTTTAAAATACATATTTTTATTAATTGCTTGTAGTTTATTTGTATCAAGAAAAATCTATATTCATAAATATTATATATTGTCACTAGTATTGTCACCAATGGGAAAAAATGTATTTCGTAGAATTCTCAATCTGTAAATAATAGTTTTCCACGAAAAGAAATATTATTAAGATAAATTTAAATATCGGAAACATTTTTCAATTGTATGTGGTTCGCAAAAAAAAATAAAATCTCGACATTATCACGTGATCTGAATCTTTGTAATTTCTATTTGTGATCCACGTAAATTGCGAGCGATTATCTACTGTAGATAGTTAGGTAGAAAATATACTCATTGAGTGTGTGAGCCTCACTCGAAACAAAAAGAAAAAAAAATCGAAATCTTTGTATGAAAATTTTTTTTTTCAAATTCAACGTAATTTTTTGGTACACCTAGAATATTGATTCGTAAGTTGAACACTATTTTGGGTTGATTGTAAGCTTACACAATAGAATTATATACATGATGTATTACAACAACAAAAATAATCAATATAAATTTTATATAAAAAAAATGTTTTATTATTGGTACAAATTATATACTAATAGAAAATAAGAGTTTAATTGAGTAAACACAATTATTCGATGCATTATCATGGGAATGATAATATTATTTTACAGCTTTGAAAATATTGAACTTCGAATGATTTTCAAATTATCTAAAATAATTGCAGGTCATATTCTGTCCAGTGCTTCTAGCATTATCACACTATTGCCTCTAATTACCTGTTTGGAAAAGAAAATTTCTATTAAAATCACAGAAACTGGTTGTTTTTTCCATTAATAATTATATAGAAAAATTAACTGATAAATGCAAATTGAAATTTTAGTTATAATTTGTAGATTTGCTTATACAGGCTTCGCATTCGATAATTAATTAAATTTTAAAAAAGTTTAAAATAATTTATACAGTCAGGTCTCGCTAAGTGTCGTCACTGGGAATTTTTTGAGACCGTCTGTCTCAGTAAGTGTCAGTGGCCTAAGCCACGCCCCTTTAATAAAAGTGGCCATTTCATTGGTTTATGTTGCAAACCGGTTTGGGGAAGTCCATTTTTAGCATTGGAGAGGGTAAAAAAAAGTGGGAAAAGTGACACTTGTTGGGTCTTGAACGATGACACTTTGTGAGTCATGACACTTACTGAAAACGACACTTGGCGAGACCTGACTGTATTTTCAAAATATAATAAATATTATGAAAATTTTATTTCAAATAATTTAAATTCTTGTAGAAAACATTATTTGTGAAAATAATTAAATTTTTCGATTAATTAATTTAAAATAGTATTAAAAATAATTTAAATTCTTCGATGAGTTCAACTATTTATGAAAATAATTGAATTCTTGTTTAGAATTTTTTTAAATAATTGTATTTCCATGAAAAAATACTATTATTAGTGAAAGTAATTAATTTTTAATTCATTTTTTCAAAATGCTATTCTAAATTAATTGAATTCATGAGGAAATTTTATTATTTATGAAAATAATTTAATTTCGAATATTTTTTGAAAATAATTGAATAATTTGAATTAAAGTAGTGTAAATTTTCAAAAGAAATCAGAAATAGTAGATTTTAGTGTCTGAAATTTTAAAAAAAGTACTCAAATAGTAGAATGACGTAGAAAAAGTAGTAAATAGTAGGTTTTAGTAAACGAGTGCGAAGCCTGCTTATAAAACCTTAAACCAGACGTTTAATACTTAAAAGATAAATTAAAATTCCTTTACGTCTATTTTTCGAAATAATCCTTTTTTTACTTACAACCATTCCAATATTATTTTTAGAACCATCCTTGCACTCCTCAATAGTTTCGTCCACCACCATATTCATGAAGGGATCGAAACCACGCAAAATACCGATAACATGTCGTCCCCCATTGAGCTTCACTAAAAAAATAGAAATAAATTAGAAAACGTAAGTAAATAATTTGTAGATAAATTAAATTATTAGGCAAACAATATGAATACTCACGAGATAATTTCTTGTCCATGTATCTAGAAGAATAGTAAAAAAAATAATTAATAAACGTAATAAGTACGCGTTGCTATACCTAACCTCAAAAAATTTCAAAATTAAATTCTAAGCATAGTACTAACGAATAATTAAAAATTACTTACTTTTTCAATTCTGGTGGATGTGCTTTACTCATTTTGAAAAATTACAAACTGCTTGAATTGAAAAATAAGTTTGTTTATTGACAAATTCACTCCGGCAAAAATGGCAAAAACAGAACAAGAACAAGCCAACAATGACAACCAAAGTTCAGGTCGTTTAAAGAACGGAAACTACGAAATTAGTTCTGACATTTTGTCACAAGGGTAGGTTTTGTCTCTGTAGGTCATTGACCGGTGACGTAATTACGATAAATCGTTGACAGCGCTTATACATGTGGTTACTTTTAGAAGTAAAATAAGTCAATTAAAAATCGCCATTTAAAAGGCGTGACTACGCAACACGTGACAAGTTCGCCATTTTTATTATTTCATGAAAATACAAGCATATTGGAATTTTTTTACTCTCATGACTGAAATTAATAAATTTATTTAAATAATAATTCAGAAAACAACATTTTTTAGTATTAAAATTGCAAAGATATTGTAGATTGGGCGAGAATAGTGTGCGAACTTACTTTCAACTAATAAAAGGTAAATTATACGACCTACTTTTACATTCTTTTTCTTATCTTAAAAAAATGCATTTAAACTTTGAAACTGAGCACGTGTTTAAACTTAACATTAAATATTATCACTTCTTATAAATAAAATTTGTTTAAATCTGTGAAACTATTGTACTACTTACAAATGTACATATTTTGTGATAGTTTTTGAACGTTTTGAGCGGTGTCAATAGAGGTTAGAAAAATAGGTTAAGTTTATCATTCAAATATTTTATACATAATTTTTTTTATCCATCAGAGTATTTTGTATTTCGATTAGATTTTGTAATGTTCAATTATTAAAAAAAAAATTCTTTCTTTTTCAGGGTTGCTACAAAAATATTATTTTATATTTTCCTGATTTCCGGACTTTTTCCTTGTTTCTAAACAATATTCTAATTCACTCTGAAAATGATTAGATACTCAAAAAAATATTCTATTACTATAATTTACAAATTTCTTTAATTATGAAATTATTCGAAAACACCAATAACTTCTTCTTTAAATAAATATTTAATCATTATTATTTTTCCATAGGAATTAAGATTTCAAAATTTAAAATTCAAAACTTTTTGAAATTCAACAACTTATAATAATTTATTTAATTATTTAGAGTTTTTAACTAAAATCTATAAATCCATTACTTTTAATAATAAATTGTGTTAAAAAACTTAACTGATTTCAGAAGAATTTGAATTATTAAAATTTTTCGAAAATCTAAGTTCTTTAAAATTATTAATTAAATTTATTAAAAACTGAAATTTTATAAAATTCGAAATGTAAACCTTCTGAAATTTATCTATTTATGGAAATTGTAAACGTTACACTTTTAAAATTTAATTAATTTTGAAATTTTTAAGTAAAATTATTCATTAAATAATTTATAAGTAATAATTTTATGATAGTTCTTAAAGAATTAAGTTATTTAAAAAGAAATTATTGTCAGAAATAGAACAAATTGAGGGTTTTATATTAGAATTCGTGGTAATTTTATGAGACAATAAAAAAATACACAAAAATTCAGAATTTTAATAAAAATCTCTGACTTTTCCCCAATTTTCCTAACCAATTCTACTTTCCCTGATTTTTGCCTGAATGACCTGTGGCAACCTTGTTTATACATTTTTTCAAAATTCAATTATTTTCAACTTTATAATAAATTCTATCAAACGAAATACAGTAATTTGTGTTCATCTATTGCCAGATAGTTGAATCCTGTCCTCGCTTTCTTTTTTCTCTACTACTACAAAAAAGCATGTAATTGATAAAAAGAAAATGTGAAAATATTAGTATAGTAAAAAAAATATCTTTCTCTATAAAATTAAATAAATGCTTTTAGGTTATCGGCCTCTGCAAAGACGGGATTCAGCATATCTGGCAATAAATGAGTGGATATTTTATTTCCACACTGCGACTCAATTTTTCAAGGGTACATTCTCGATTTTATAAAAGTACGATGGCTTCTTTGCTGGTTCCACCAGCTTCTGTTCGTGGAATGAAAAATTTAGATCGCGACGCCTTTAAAACATCATTCAAAGTTCCCTCATTACAATTCCAAGAAGGGAATATTTCAAAAATTATTCCCATAGTTAAAAAGTATTTTCTAAAATTGAGACAATTCAAATCAATCGCCACTTGTGATAAATTAACGACAATTTATCTCGATCCAAAGAAAATAGACAATTTCCAAGATTTCACCGATGAAGACAGGGAAATAATCGAATCACAAAATGGAAAATTTTCCCTAACTGATTTACAAGTGACTTACGATAATTTACGATTAGAAGAAACATTGAAGGCAATTTTCCCCGAAGACATCGAGGCACCAGGTTCATTCAGTCAAATTGGACACATTGTTCATTTAAATCTACGAGATTGTCAATTGCCTTATAAAACATTAATTGGTCAAGTGATTCTCGATAAGGTACCAAATTCAAAAACAGTGGTTAATAAATTAAACATCATTGACACGACATTTCGACATTTCTCCATGGAGATTTTGGCAGGCGAAGAAAATACAATTGTCGAAGTCAAAGAGAATGGATGTCGATATCAATTTGATTTTGCCAAAGTCTATTGGAATCCACGATTGGGAACCGAACACGAGAGAATTGTTGAATTTTTAAAACCACAGGACGTGCTCTACGATGTATTTGCCGGTGTTGGTCCATTCTCCGTTCCCGCCGCACGTAAGGGAATTAAAGTACTCGCCAATGATTTAAATCCAAATTCCCACAATTATCTTGTGATAAATTCGAAAATTAATAAAACAAAGGACAATTTGTCGGCATTTAATAAAGACGGTAGGGATTTTCTAAGGAATGAAGTGAAAAATGATATTTTAAAACGACGAGAAACTGGTGAACCGGGTACTGAACATATTGTCATGAATCTTCCAGCGATTGCAGTTGAATTTTTAGACGTATTCCAAGATTTATTCACTGACGAGGAAATTATCGATGTTTCAACGAAAAAAACAAAAATTCACGTTTATTGTTTCGTGAAACCGGAGAAAAACGAGAAGGCCACTGATATTGCAAAATTATTAGTCGAAGAGAATATTAAAACAGAATTGTGCTCCGAAACTTTGATTGAAATTCATAATGTTCGTAATGTAGCGCCAAATAAAGAAATGATGCGAGTCTCATTCTTTTTAACGCAAAAAATATTAAAAGGCGGGGAGCCAGCAATGAAGAAAGCCAAATTAAATGCTGATTCTTAACTGTTTACTTCCCAGGGGAACGATGGCAAAGAATAAGGGTTCGAATAAAACGGCGAAAAATGTTTTCAAGGTCGCAGTTTCTCGCACACATCGCCTTAAATCTAAAGCACAAAAGGTGTCTCTCAATCTAAAAAATGTAAGTTCGAAGATTTTTTTTCATAATTCTTTTAATAGATTTTCATTATTGTTTTTTTTTTGTAGCTGGGCAAATCGAAAAATCCAAATAAAGAGAAAACCAATCTGATAAATCAACAGTTGGCGGAATTACGCAAAGAAGTCTATCAAGCGAAAGATGCGAAAAAATCGGAATTAGCGGGAAAAATAAAGGGGAAAAAATTTTTCCAAACTAAAAAGAAATCGACAAAAATGGAGACAGAATCAACAGCTAGTTTAGTTAAAAATATGCAGATTTAAATCCGTCGTTTACCTAATGTACAAAATTGTAACATAAGCATTTTTTTTCTTTCGTAATAAAAATTAAGTTTTTTTCATAAATACTCTCCATCTTTATTTAACAAGTCAGAAATTTTAATTCTGAATTATTCAGAAAATCTCTTCTCTATTCAGATAAATTTTAATTAAAGATTTAATTTTTTATTTCTAATTTCGAATTTAGAAAAATCGTCCAAATGGAGAAAAACACAGCAGTATTGATTGTCATTGGAGATGAAATCTTAAGAGGTCAAGTTGAAGACAAAAATACATCCTATTTGGCCTCGAAATTATACGCAATAGGAATTAAATTTCATAAAGTTATCATAATTCCAGATTCAGTAAGCAAATTTCACTGTATTTTCATTTTAAAAAACTCAGATCGAATAGTTTTTCTTTTCTTCAAAAACTGCATTTTTAATTAATTTCTTCAATAGGTTTTCGATATTGCCAAAGAATTATCGGAAGTCTCGAAAAATTATCCCATTGTCTTCACATCCGGTGGAGTGGGACCAACTCACGATGATCTTACATACGAGGCAGTTGGTAAATGTTTCAAATTAGAAATCGAGGAGAATAAAGAATTATTAGATATTTATAAAAAATTATTACCAAATGAACCGGAAGTTAAACGCTATGCAATGGCACCATCTTCCTCTGAAGTGATCTACATAAAATCACGTAAGTTTTCAAAATGTAGGTTTAGGATTGAATTTAAGGCGCAAAAAGTCGCTTTAGTCATTCAAAAATTTAAAAAACGTCGAAAAACGTTTTGAAAATAAGTCGAAAAAAGTCCAAAAAGTCGTACACAAGTATTTTTAATAAAAATAAAATTTTTTGTATTTTCAATTTCTATGTCTAATTTTCTTTTTACAGAAAAATTTGCTGTGATAAAGGTGAATAATGTCTACGTGCTTCCTGGTTCACCGAAATATTTTCAACCTGCAGTTGATAAAATTATCTCAACTTTAAAAGGAGGTGTTCCATTATTTATAGACGAATTGGATATTGCTCTGAAGGAAGTAAAAATAGTCAAGGGTTTGGATGCATTTGCAGAAAGGTGGAAAGGTCGCGTAAATATTGGAAGTTATCCACAACAATTTGGTGCGAAACATTCGACGAGAATTACATTTGAGGGCAAAAAAGAGGACGTTATAATTGCAAAAAGGGAATTTCAAAATTCATTCTCAGAGAGTCGTTTTAATGATCGGAAATTCAGTCGATCGATAGCCGAAAAGGTGTTTGAAAAAATTCAAGCCCATCATCATTTGAAACGCAGTTGGAGCATTATTGAGGAGTGCTTCGATAGGTAAAATCGATTTTCAAATTTAATTTCTACTTCTGAAATTTAATTTTTAAATTTTTGAAATTAGTTTCACAAATTTTTTAATTAATTTCAAATTTTTTTTTGTATTTGAATAATGAAAAATGTGCAGTTTTTAATAAACTGATTTTCTGTCAATATTGTTGTGAATTCATACATTAATTTACATGAGTTAATTAATGAAATTTGTTCTAGATTTTCGTCTAACGAAGTTTTCCTCTCCTTCAATGGCGGTAAAGATTGCACGGCAGTGTTACACTTGACTTCCGCTTTTCTTGCCCTAAAGGGATCTGAACCTTTACTGAGTTTATACATAATTGGCGATTCATTCCCCGAGGTGAAATTCAGAATCAATTTAACTTTTTTCTATTAACAAATTTTTATTTCAGAACATTTTCTATTTAATTTCAGAAAACTTTGAATTCAATTTCAAATTTATGAATTTAATTTTATTAAATTTTCAATTCAATTTCAGAAAATTTTCCATTTAATTCAAAAAACTTTTAAATTTCTAAAATTTGTAGGTATTTTCTAAAATTTGTATTTTCTAAAATTTATATTTTCTAAAATTTACAATTTTAAATCTGAAATAATTTAATTCTATATAGAATTTTATTAAAATTGTCAAAAATAATTAAATTTATTTAATTCAATTAAAATTGTATAGAAAATAATTTAATTCTTACGGAAAGTTTATTAAAATTTTTAAAAATATAGGAATTTTTTACAGAAATGTTATTAAAATTCTGTTTAAAGTAATTGAATTCTTGCCAGGAATTTTATTATTTAAGAAAATAATTAAATTCTTGATAAGAATTTTATCAAGATTTTTTAAAAATAATTGAATACTTTCGAGAAATCTCATTGAAATTCTATATTTAAAATTTTAAAGTACATATTTAAGAAAATATAATTGAATTATTGACAAGAAATGTAACAAAATTTCTAAAAATTGAATTTTTTCGAAAAATTAAATGAAGATTTTTAAAAATAATTGAAGTTTTGCTAGAAATTTTATTACAAAATTTAAAGTAATTGAATTCCTGTAAATAATTTTATTATTTAAGAAAATAATTGAAATCTTGATAAGAATTTTTTAAAAATTTTGGAAAATAATTGAATTTTTTCCAAGATTTTTGAATGAATTGAATTCATTTGTGAAATTTTATTGAAATTTTATGTTTAAAATAATTGCAGTCCTATTAGGAATATTATTATTATTTACGAAAATAATTGAATTATTGACATGAAATGTAACAAAATTATTAAAAATAATTGAATTCTTTCGAAAAATTTAATTAAGATTTTTAAAAATAATTGAATTTTTTGGAGAAATTTTATTAAAAAATTTAAAGTAATTGAATTTTTGCAAATAATTTTATTATTTTACAAAAAATTCAATTCTTTATAAGAATTTTATAAAAATATCGGAAAATAATTGAATTTTTTCAAAGATTTTTATTAAGATTTTTGAATTAATAGAATTCATTAGCGAAATTTTATTGAAATTATAATATTTAAAGTACATAATTGAATTTCTGCAAAGAATTTTATTGTTTTTGAAAATATAATTGAATTCTTGCAAGGAATTTTATTAAAATTTATGAATTTAATTTCAGAAAAATTTCAATTTAATTTCAGTAAATTATTAATTCAATTTCAAAAATTTTTGTAATTGTCTAAAGTTTACATTTTCTAAAATTTACAATTTAAAAAATTTACAATCTCTAAAATTTGCATTTTCTGAAAATTGTAATTTCTATAATTTAAAAATTAAAAAAATTTTAAATAGAAGTACTTCTTCGATCAAAATTTATTTATTTCCGGACATTGAGCAATTTAATTCTACAGACACTAAATAACTCGTCTAAATGTCTGACAGGTGGATGAATTCGTGGCGAAAGCAGCGGCCTACTATGGATTAAGAGTAGTGAGAAAGAATCGTCCAATGAAGGAAGCCTTGACAAAGTTTACCAAGGAGAATCCAAAATTACGTGCATGCCTAATGGGAACGCGTAAAGCTGATCCATACGCAGAGAATCTCGAACCATTTTGTAAAACAGATCCAGGATGGGCGGAATTAATGAGAGTGAATCCAATTTTTGATTGGACCTACAATCAAATTTGGCAATTTCTCCTCGATTTTAATGTGCCCTACTGTTCATTGTACGACAAAGGTTACAGTAGCGTTGGCGTTGCAACTCTAACCCTAAGGAATCCACTTTTACGCGATCCAAACAATCCGTCCATTTATTTACCAGCTCATACACTAGCTGATGACTCGACCGAACGTCAAGGTCGAGAATAGAGTCAATTTTATCTTTTAGTAACTTAATTTCAAAATTCTATTTTTCTATATTATAAATTTTATTTAGAACCAAATTTTAACTTAATTTATTTCTAGCGAAAAATGAAAATAAGAGTACAATTTTTAACTTAATTTATTTAAGTAAAAAATCTCTGTCAATTTTACGTAATAAACGATTTTATCTAATTCTGGTCTTTTTTGTATTTGTCTCAATTTTTTAATAGAAATAAAAATTTGAGGATTGAAAAAGATTTTTTAGGAATAAATTAAAGGGCCGGGGAAGAGTCAGGGGACAAGAGAAAGAAAAAAAGGGAGAGAGAGAGTGATAAAAGGGGTGAAGGATGAGAAGGTTGACATTCACGGAATTTTTTCGCTGACTATCGTTAGATGAAACGATAATCCGCGACTTAGCTTCGTGAAGCCCCTTAAATAACTGAATTAAGGTCTCAAGTAAAGAAAGCCCTAAGCGTGGATTTGCGGTGGGCAGTTTCAAGTGCGTATAAAAAGAAGCGATCAGATTTGGAGCGATCAAGGTGACGGGTTCTGGCGAATGGATCAACCGATATGTACAACAGTAGTGTTCACTGGGAAGCGCGACTCCCGGCAGGGGCACCACGTCTGCTAGGATGGAACGTTCCACCAGAGGAATTGATTCATATACCGGAACATTGGCTGGTGTATCCTGAGCCGAACCCCTCCCTTCACTATCTTCTAGCTCTTCTCTACGTTCTATTCACCTTCATCGCTCTCCTAGGAAATGGTCTCGTTATCTGGATTTTCTGCTCGTAAGTCATAATTTTCTGAATAATTCTAGTTTTTTTTTCTGTATTTATCCCAATTACGACAATTTTTTTCATAATAACGATTCCTAACGATAATTTTCCCCTCTAATTCCTAATATGGAAAAATAATTATCGAAAATAAAAGAATATTTATTTTTCCCTTTTTGACATTTCATTTAAATTCCCCTTCGAAATGTTTCACTGTAAATTTCAGAATTAAATCACAGAGAATAATTTAAAAAATGCTATGGAAATATTTCGATTAGATTGAAATGACGTTAAAGATTCAATAAATACTGACAGATTTTTGTGTTCAACAGGGCCAAGTCGTTAAGAACGCCGTCGAATATGTTTGTAGTGAATTTGGCGATATGTGATTTTATGATGATGCTCAAGACTCCAATTTTCATTTACAATTCAATAAACACTGGCTTTGCGCTCGGAAATCTTGGATGTCAAATTTTTGGATTTATGGGCACATTATCGGGAATTGGCGCTGGTACAACGAATGCAGCGATAGCCTATGATAGATACAGGTAACAATAGAAAATTTTCTATCCCGATGCTTGTTTTTAAAACAAAAATAATTCAAGATTTTTTTGTTTGTTTCTTTGCTTTCTAATTTAAAAAAAAAAATTTTTCTCTTTAAATATTTTGAATATTAAAAATTGACAAAATTCCAATTTAGTGTTTTAAAAAATTAAAAAATAACAAAAATTAATAAAATTCCAATTTAATGTTTTGAAGATTAAATAATAACAAAGTTAATTAAACAAAATTTTTGTAAATTAACAATCTTAATTAAAAATGTAATCTTAATTTATATTTTAAAACATCGCAATTTTTACATTTAATATTTACTTATAAATTATTGTAGAAAAAATAATTTTTATTAATACAAAATAAGGTTTTGCATCAATTCTTACGAAAAGTGTATTAAAATTTTTAGAAATAATGGAATTTTTTCCAGAAATTTTGATTAAAATTGTGTTTAAAGTAATTGAATTCCTGCCAGGAATTTTATTATTTAAAAAAAATTAAATTCTTGCCATAAAATGTAACACAATTTTTGAAAATAATTAAATTCTTTCGAGAAATTTAATTAAGTTTATAAAAATAATTGAACGTTTTCGAGAAATTTTATTCAAATTATATTTAAAGTAATTGAATTACAGCAAAGAATTTTTTTATTTATGAAAATATAATTCAATTCTTGACAAAAAATGTAACAAAATTTATAAAAACAATCAAATTATTTTTAAAAATCTTAAGAAAATATTTCGATAGTATTTAATTATTTTCAGAAATTGTGATATATTTTTTGACAAGGATTAAAATTATATTTTCATAAATAAAAAATATAATTTTCATAAAAGAAAAAAATTTCTTGAAAAAATTCAATTATTTTTAAAAATTTTATTAAAATTTTTCGTAAGAAATGAATTATTTTTAATAATTTTGTTACATTTCTTGGCAAGAATTCAATTATATTTTCATAAATAAAAAAATTCTTTTGAGAAATTATTTAAAATTATATTTAAAGTGATTGAAATTCTGCAAAGAATTTTTTTATTTATGAAAATATAATTGAATTCTTGCTAAGAAATGTAACAAAATTATTAAAAATAATTCATTTCTTACGAAAAATTTAAATAAAATGTTTAGAAATAATTGAATTTTTTCGAGAAATTTTATTAATTAAGAAATTAATTGGATTTTTGATAAGAATTTTAACAAGATTTTTAAAAATAATTGAATTTCTGCAAAGAATTTTATTATTTATAAAAATAATTTAATTCTGGCCAAGAAATGTAATAAAATTTGTGAAAATAATTGAATTCTTTCAAAAAATTTAATTAAAATTTTTGAAATAATTGAATTCTTTCTAAAAATGTAGTTAAAATTTTTGAAATAATGAAATTCTTTCGAGAAATTGTATTGAAATTCTATATTTAAACTTAAAGTAATTGAAGCCCTGATAAAAATTTTATTATTCATGAAAATAATTGAATTTCTGACAAGAATTTTATTATTTATAAAAATAATTGAATTCTTTCGAGAAATTTTATTATAAAATAATAATTAAAGTAATTGAATTTCTGCAAAGATTTTTTTATTTATAAAAATGTATTTGAATCCTTGCCAAGAAATAAGAAAATTTCTAAAAATAATTCAATTCTTTCAAACAATTTAATTAAATTTTTTAAGAACAATTGAATTTTTTGTAGAAATTTTATTAAAATTTAGTTTAACGTAATTGAATTCCTGTCAGGAATTTTATTATTTAAGAAATTAATTGGATTCTTGTTAAGAATTTTAACAATATTTTTAAAAATAATTGAATTCTTTTCAGAAATTTTATTAAAATTATATTTAAAGTACATAATTGAATTTCTACAAAGAATTTTATTATTTATGAAAATATAATTGAATTCTGGCCAAGTAATGTAACAAAATTTCTGAAAAGAATTGAATTCTTTCGAAAAATGTAATTAAAATTTTTTAAATAATTGATTTATTTCGAGAAATTTTATTGAAATTCGACATTTAAAGTAATACAAATTCTGCAAAAAGTGTATTATTTATGAAAATATAATATAATTCTTAACAAGAATTTTATTAAAAATTAAAAAAAAAATTTATTAAAATTTTATTATAAATTAAAATTAGAATTTATGAAAATAATTGTATTCTTCCTAAAAATTTTATTAAGATTTTTAAAAATAGAATTTCTTCTCGTGAAAAGTTATTAAAATTTTCTATTGTTTCTGTTTTAGTACAATAGCGAGACCATTGGATGGAAAACTAACACGGGGTCAAGTGATGTTATTCATTGTTCTCATATGGTCCTACACGATTCCATGGGGTTTAATGCCTGTGATGGGTGTCTGGGGACGTTTTGCTCCAGAAGGATTTTTGACAAGTTGCACCTTTGATTATATAACTGATACACCTGAAATTCGCATGTTCACCGGGACAATATTTACCTTCTCGTATGCAATACCAATGACACTTATTATATTTTATTACAGTCGAATGGTCGGTCACGTAATGGATCACGAGAAAGCACTTCGGGAACAGGCGAAGAAAATGAATGTCGAGAGTTTGAGGAGTAATGCAAATGCAAATGCTCAATCGGCGGAAATTCGCATTGCCAAGGTACGAATGGTTCCCCATTTTAGTAAAATTGAAAAATTTGGAATTTGGAAAAAATTAGTAAAGTATTTTTTTACTTACAGGCAGCGGTGACAATTTGCTTCCTGTTCGTTGCTGCATGGACACCGTACGGAGTGATGGCGATGATCGGAGCTTTCGGGAATAAAGCTTTATTAACACCCGCAGTGACAATGATTCCAGCTTGTTGCTGCAAAGCTGTCGCTTGTTTAGATCCTTATGTTTATGCCATCAGTCATCCTCGATACAGGTAAAAATAATTCCTCATTATCTGAAAATAAAATATAAATTTAAAACTAAGATACAAAATTACTGGCAAAAAATGTTTGCTTAAATCGTCGCTAATTAATCTATTCACCTTTTAACTACCTATTTAATTGTCAATCTTCAATTATTTTAAGAACCAATTCACGAATCAATATTAATTCTATTGATTTCTGAATTCTTTGCCTATTTTATCCATTTTTATATAAAATAAGTTTTCATTCAGAAAAGTTCTAGAGATTTGCTCCAATTATCAGACTATGAATCGAAAAGAAGAGTCATCAGACATAATTATAATTTTCAGACTGGAATTGCAAAAGAGACTGCCTTGGCTTGAAATACAAGAAAAACCAATCTCAGATTCAACCAGCACGACAACAGAAGCTGTTAATCAATCAACCACTTAATTTTAATAAGATGTAATTAAATGATTTGATAAATAAGCTACTACTTCTATACGTTATGATTAATATCTGATAACTGCAAAAAAAACGAAAAAGAAAAACGTGAAATCTTGAAACATTTAAACCAGAGAGAGAGAGAGAAAAAAAAGAAGAGAGAGAGAGTATGTTGACGGAGTTGAAAATTAAATTATTCCGCAAAATTATAATATATTTTCGCTTGTTCGTCAAAGTAAGTAATTATGTATTAATATGTAATTTTCTTATTTTATTTTGTAATAAAGATCTCTTCCGACGATTTATTTAAATAAATAATGGACTAAATATAAAGTATAATATTCGTCGAATTCATTGTAATTCTATTAATTTTTCAGAAATGCAATTTTTTTTCGAACTATTTAAATTGTTTGGTATTTTAGGAAAGAAGAAATTGTTTTGAATTTTAGGGAAGAAGAAATTGTTTCGAATTTTAGGGAAATTTTTAGGGAATTTTTAGGGAAAAGAAGAAATTGTTTGGTATTGTAGGAAAAAAATTGTTTGGAGTTTTAGGAAAGAAGAAATTAGTTGGAATTTTAGGAAAAAAGAAAAAAAAAATAATTTAATTAAAGGACTGATTTAATTTAGTATTATGATGAAAATGTAATTAAGGGTTGTTATGTAATAATTATATAAGGGATCTCCAATTTGTACTTTTATATAAAGGAGGAATTAAATAATAATCCACTTCCTAAAGAATCCAACTAACAGCTTTTATAGAAATCAAAATCGTTGCAGCGTAGATTTGAACTTTTTTTCCTTCGTTTCACTTATTAATTTGAAGTTTCCCTTTTACTTTTGGGCACAACTACCTGAAACATTTACGCTCCTGTATTTAAAAGACCACATTCCTTAGCTGTCAGATTTTTAAATGTCCTAATGCTCTCTTTAGAGGAAATTTTAATTTCCAGCCTAAATTAATATTTTCAGGGAAGTTTTGATTAATTATCAACATGTTTTTTCTGAGTATTTTTTTCAAAGAACTTTCTTATTTTGTAAATTGTTTTCTTCTATAATTACCAATATTATTAAAAAATAGTTTTCACAATTATTAAAATACTTTTTCATTAGATACTTCGATTAAATAAATATTTTACCTCTTTTTGTATAATAAAAATAATAAAAATTTAATAAAAAAGTTTCAATGATTCAAAAAATGATTTCTTGGTTTCTGAATTAAGTAAATATTTCTTGTCATACAATATTTTATTTATTTATTAAATAAATAATAATAATAATAAATAAATAAAGTAATGTTTCTATAAAAAAAAATCTATTAAAAAATTGCTTCGACTTGTTAAAAATAAATTTTACAAATTAAAACAATTTTAAAAATTAAAAAATACTAATTTAAGAAGGTAAATATTTCAAGCCACCTGATTATTTCTTCAATCGCGACCTTCACCGAAAGATGGTATTTTTTCCTTTCAGATCATATTTTCTTCTCTCATAAATAATTTTTTTTTCCTACTGCTTTAGTGTTAAAAAATTAAACTTCAAACAACAACTCGAGTCATAATTTTCCCAAACAGAGAATTTTATTTAAAATTATGTAAAAATAATTTATTCAACCTATAAATTTTCTTCTCGATTTTTAAACAATAGATAATAACAAATAAATCCTGGGTTCTAAAGACAATTGCTTCGCGCCTGAAAGTGGAAAGTCCAAGTTTATTTGCGAGAGTAAAGAGGCTTTATCCGCGTATATTTGAACCGTCTCTGGCAGTTTGTTGTCTCGATACGAGGTTTACACTTGTAACAGTTAACAAACTCGATGCCATTTATTTCTCTTTTTCCTCTATAAACAAAAAAAAAAAACTAATTTCTTCGCAACAAATTAAATTTTGTGACAAAAAAAAGAAACAAAGCTTGCCAAAGATTTACAGTTACGAAAAAAGCAAGAAAACTAATTGTAGAATGCTAGAAATAATCTAATCTGTGATTTATCTCGATGTATAGTTACAGTATTTTCAATTCAACAACAATTTGTGTTCACATGGAACAGAGCTGACAAGAAAAAAAGGTGAAAAAAAATATTTGTAAATAAATTTTACCCAAAAAATATTTATCAATTTTTTTTCATTTTATTTTTTTCATGCTAAATTCCCTTTTTTTGAAAAAAAAATTCTTGATTAAATGCTAAAGTAACAAACAAACTTCTGCTAAATGTACTAACAAACTTCTACAAAAATGATAAATATTTCCTTAATTTTTGTTAAATTGATTATTAACTTTATTTTTAAAATAAATATTAAATCATAAAAAATTTATTTTGTTTTTTCTACTAATTATTTAATTTATAATCTAATTTCTAATTCATAATTTTTAATTTATAATTCACTTTTTTTATTAATTAAATAATTATGTTTACAATTAACATATTTGAATACATTAATTTACATTAATAATTACTGAATAATAAAAAATATTTAATAATTTTTATGAGTGGAAACGAAGATGTGAATTAACAACAAAAGAAAAAAATACTCTTTGGATGATTTTCAAATTCATCGGAATTTTTTTCTTTGTTCTGCTTGAAAATAATACCGGAATTTTAAAATGTATGACAAATACGGAACGTGATCGGTTAATAAGCATCATTATGGGTATAATAAATTAAAGAGTGGATTCACCTCAATGTATTATTTATTAATTGTTGTATTTTTAAATCAATAACAAACAATTTACAATTACAATATTTACGGATTGAATTCGATTAAATGATAATACGTTTAATGTTTAACAAATAATTTAGTATGTGATTTAGTGTAAATAAGTAGCGAAATGTAAATAAAAAAGTAATTAAATCAGATTACACTCAATTTTCAAGTTTCAATTTAATTTATCTGTGAATATAAATTAATTAATAATAGGAATTTAATTACTAAATTAATTAACAATAAAAATTTAATTAATAAATTATTTAATAATAAAAATTTAATTAATTATTAATGCAAAATTTTATTAATTAATTAGTAATAAATATGTAATTAATAAATTAATAAAAAATAAATCAAAATAAATAAAACTAGATTTTCTTTTTAATTTTAGTTAATGCACCGAAATAAAAAATAGTTACGAAAAAAGTCTACTCTAAGTTTGATAATAAAACTGTGGCGCCAAAAAATGTGATTTGCTAATTTCTACACAAAACAAATTATTGATAGCGAATCGAAGTATTTTTCTTCATCGCATTGAAACTAATTTAAAAATATTTTTTTTTGCTCCTTATCTTTCTTTTATCTTTAACAATTGTTTAATTTTTTCTTAAATTCAAACGATTTATTTGTATTTTTCAGTTTTACCAAATGCACTAAACGTTATCAAAATGATAAAAAAAAAGACTCTTCACTTAATGCACACAGCAAAGAGATAGAAATAATTTTCTAGTCTATTATTTACATCAAAAAATGATAATTCGACTTTTTAATTAATAAAAAAATTCGGTAAGTATAATTATTGATTTTTTGCGTATTTTTGGTATAGATTAATTTTAAAATAAAACTATATTTTTTAGAGATTGTTTTTTAATTCTTGATTTTCTAAACTTGATTTGAAAAAAGGTAATTAAATTAAAAAAATTAATTAGCATTATCAAAAAAATTATCTTGTTTCTTAAATTCTTTTTTTAAATACGTAACCAAAATATTGTTTAATTGTAATTTAATATAGAATTCTGTTTAATTGTTTTAATTAATGTATTTTAATTTTAGAACAGCTAATTAATTATTTCGTCCAGGAGAAAGAGAATATATTAAATAATAACAATGGATTGGTATAAAAAGTACTATCGCAAAAAGTAAGTTATATCATTTATACTTATTTATTTATCAAAATAAAACATTATTAGGTTTAATTATTATTAATTATTATTTAAAAAAAATCTTTAATTATTATTTAAGAAAATTTAAGTTAATAAAAATTTTTCTATTTAAATTTTATTGTTTTTTTACTTTTAACATTTTTAATAAGCATTTTCACCTTATTTTTCTTTCAAAGCCTTCGCGAAAGACATTTATTACATATTTTGCTTTTTGATTATTAAGTTCAAGATTTGCTGATTCATGGAACATAAATTTTAACATATATCAATTTTTCTTTTTGTTTTTCCATTTAATAACAATTACCGGCTATTATGTAAAATTCGTCCCTAAAGTTTTGAATTTTCAAAAAGCGAACGAAATTAATTTTTTTTCTCTTTACTCTCTAAATCAGAATAAGTAGAAAGTTACTAATGACAAATGATGAAAAATCGTCCAGCAAATGATTTTAAGTAATTTAAGTAATTTGAATTTAATTTAAATTTAAGTAATAATTTTATTAACAATTATTAGTGAAATTTTACTAATTTTTAGTAGAATTTTACTAATTCAACGACAATAGTAATACATAATAATAATATATTGTCATGTATGGAATTTAAATTAATAATAATTTGTTATTATTATTTAATATAATAATAAAAATACCTAATAATAATAATATTTTGTCATGTATGGAATTTAAATTAATATTAATTTTTCATTATTATTTAATATAATAATAAAAATACCTAATAATAATAATATTTTTTATAGAGCTCATTCATTTCGTGGTGACAGTCTTGAAAATTTTGACCAAAGAAGAGCAAGATGGAGAAGCATTTACGTTATTTATTTCACAATGTTTCTAATGTCTTTAGGATTCAGTATAGTTCTTACCGGAATTTATGATTACTTACAAAAGAAGGTAATTTAATTTTAAAATGAATTAAAATTTTAAAACGAATTTAAAATGAACGAATTAAAATTTTAAATAAATAATATAAAATCTATTAGTACAAAATAAATTATAAAAGAAAATTCAAAAATAAAAATTTGTTTTGAAAGACGTGTTCCAATTAGAATTTGCTATATTTACTTTTATTATTTATTAATCTACTCTATAAAAATAAAAATGACCAACAAATATAATATAAGAAATAAATAATAAATAAAAAAACATTACCAAATTTTTGGAATTTAATTAAAATAATATTTTAGAAAATGTGTTTCTTTTTAAATGTATATTATAATATTTAATACATTTATTTTTCTTTTAGTTACTGAAGTTAATAACAATAAAAAAAATAAAATATTTTGCAATAAAAAGATCTAAAATAATTGAAGAAACAAATTTACCAAAAAGCAAATAATAATAATAGTAAATAAAGTGTTTTGAATTAATTTGTCGACATTTTCATTTAGTTAGATTCGACTGGAGTTGAATTTATGACATTTGCCGTTGCCGCAAATCCCCTGGGACAAATGATATTCTCACCATTAATTGGCTGGTGGAGTAATAAATTAGGATCATCAAGATTACCAATGCTAATAACATTAGCCATTTTTACATTTGCTTCCGGATTTTACAGTATCCTCGAAATTCTTCCAATTGAATCGAGAAAAATGGCCATGCTCGTGTCACGTTTTTTGGTTGGCGTAAGTTCCGGTAATTATATTTATCAAAATTTATTTTTCAAATTATTATTATTAAACTCTTTAGGAAAATATTTTTTCCCTAATTTTTCAATAATTTAAATAAAAAATTTATTTAAAAAAAAATTAGAATTAAATGTTAAAATAATCAATTACTTGATTTTCATGGTAAATAAATATTTAATTAAAAAAATAAATTATTTTTTTCTTAAATCAATTAATTTAAGAAAAAATTAATTGATTTTAATCAATTAATTAATTAATTTTTCAATTAATTTATTAATTAATTTTTCAATCGAATCAATAATTTTTGTTTTCGAATCAAATAATATCTAATCGAATAAAAAAAATTATTCAATTAAAATCAATTTAAATTAAATAAATTTTACTTTAATCCGAATGAATATTTAATTCAATTCAATATTATTTAATACGAAAAATATTATTTAATCCAAGTAAATATTTAATTCAATTCGATACTATTTAATTCAAATTAATATTTATTTGATAAAAGTCGAAAAATTATTAAAATCAATTTAAATTAAATAAATATTACATTAATCCAAATGAATATTTAATTCAATTTAATATTATTTAATACAAAAAATATTATTTAATCCAAGTAAATATTTAATTCAATTCAATACTATTTAATTTAAATTAATATTTATTTGATAATAGACGAGAAAATTATTATTTGAATGAAATAAATTTTCTTTATAAAAAAATTTTTCCCACATTTTTTATTTAACTAAAAACTACAAATAGATTTAGAAAATATTTACTAAGTGCTCTAAATCTATTTTAAGCAGGAAGTAAATTTTTTCTCTTCTCTCTCTCTCTTTTTCTTTCTTGGTGAAGAATATCGCGATATCTTGAAAAATCTACTTGACACTAAAGGTGTGAATGAAGAAAAAAAAATGGTGAAAAGAAATTTAAAAATGAAATGTAATTCTTTTACAGCAAATATTGCGGTAGCGAGATCTTATCTATCAGCTGCCACGAGATTTTCAGAAAGGACACACGCTGTATCGATGGTGTCCCTAGCGCAGGTTTGAAATACTTTTTTTTCTCAATATTGTATGTATAAAGATTCTCTCTTAGAATTTTTAAATGGGAATCTAGAATATAAAAAGAAACATGTCCAGTATTTTTATCGCGATATGTTTATGCTAAATCATTTTATGTGTTGTTAAAGCAAATTTTTTTTCTTTAAATATATTGTATGTACGCGTGTGTGCAGGTATTGGGATTTGTGGTCGGACCAGCTTTACAAGCAGCAGTGACATTTTTGGGACCACAAGGATTCTATATTTTTGGTTTGCCCATTAATATGTATACATCAGTTGGTTGGATTAATGTACTATTGGGCATTCTTAATTTTCTTCTATTTCTTCCGGGAAATTTCACTGAACACAAAATTGCAGCTCGCGAAGCTTTAAAGGAGCAAAACGATTCTAATGGTATTTTGAATATTTTTTTTATCTCCCATTAAAAATCAATTTTGAATAATTTTTATCTCCAATTAAAAATCAATTTTGAACAATTTTTATCATCTCCAATTAAAAATCAAACTTTTGTTCAAAATAATTATAACAAATTAGCAAAAATCTTAATCTACTCTTTGTATAAAAAAATATAACTAATAATTACATTTGAAAAAAATTTATTTGAATCAAATAAAATTAAAATAATCAAATGATTCAAATTAATTTTTTATAATTCTTTTTCTTTAACAGAACTTTCAGAAGAATCAACATGGAAATCAAGGAAAATCGATTATGTCGCATCTTGGACCCTAATATGTGCATTTTTAGTCTTTGTCTTTAATTTCGTTCTCATTGAAACGTAAGTTTTGTAATTCTATTTATTTTTTCCAATAAGATTATGAAATTAATAAATAAACATGAAAAAAATGTCCAATTAAATTGTTTTAGTAAGAAAATAATATTTTCTGTTTAAATTGAGAGGAAAAAGTTTATGTAATAAAAGAAAATATATTAATTTTTTAAAAAATTAAAGTAGTAATTAAAAAAAAAATATTTAAACTTACACTGAGAAAAAAATTTTTGTTAATTCAAAGAAAATAGTTTCTTAGATTCTTTCTTTTTCCTTTTAAAATAAATTTTCCTATCAAACAAAAAGAGGCTTTTTCATTCAAAGAAAATTTCTTTGACTTTAAAAAAATTTTATTTCATTTAAACAAGTTTTCTTAGAATCCAAAAAATTTGTTTTTTAAATGAAAGAATTTTTATCATTGTTTAATAGTACTCTTTAATTCAAGGGCAATATCTTTGAAAAATTTGTTTTTGTTAATCAAATAAATTTTCTTTGAATTTAAGAAATTTATTTTTTAAATAAAAGAAATTTTATCATTAGATATTTAATATTTTTTAATTCAAAAAGGAAATTATCCTCCAAACATAAATTTTCCTTGAATCCACAAAATTTGTTCTTTAAATGAAAGAAATTTTATCAATATTTTTTAATTTATAAAAGAAAATTTCATTGAAATAAATAAATTGTTTTTCGATAAAATAAATTTTCCTTAAATCAAAGAAATTTGTTTTTTAAATGAAAGAAATTTAATCTTTGTTTAATTTTTTAATTAAAAAAAAATTTCTTTTTGGTGTAAATAAGTATCAAATAAGGAAAAGATTAATATTTTAAAAAGTATTAAAATTAAGCAAATTAATTATAGTATTAAATGTAAAATAAATCATTTTAATAGTATTGCAGTAAAAATGAATAAAAGATTAGAATTAAACATTAAAATATTAATTAGAAATTAAGATATTAATTGTAAATTAAAATACTAATTAAAAATTAAATTATTTCAGCCTTGGTAGTTCTTTGACAATGAATCAATTTGCATGGACAGGTAAGGAAGCAATGTACTATGTGGGTATCATGATGAGCGTAGGAGCTTTAATTGCCTGTGGAGTATTCGCAATGATTGGACCAATTTGCAAAAGGTATTTTTCATTTAACAATAAAAAAAAAATCCTAAATATTTTAAATAAGTAAAATATTTTTGAGTTAAATAAGTTAAATAATTTTTTTTACTAATTTAAATTAGTGACTGACTTTTTGCCTTTGAATTAATAATAAATTAATAATAAATTTTACTAATAAATTAAAAATTAATAATAATTCTGCTAAATTCTTATTGCGCAGTTGTTATCAATTTTAATTTACTATAAATATCACAACTTATCATAATAATGTTTATTGCCATCATTAAAATAAACGTGAATTATTATTTGAAATTTTCTTCTCTATTTCCGGTATACACTATTTCGGGAGATAAAAATCAAACGTTAAAATATATTAATAGTATGAGGTGGCTTTTTTTTTCTTACAGAATTGCTGAAAGAAAAGTAATGATGTGGGGTGGTTTCTTCTGCATGTTTGTGGGAAGATTATTTATGATTCCTTGGGGACCGGATCCACCGCCAATTGCTGAATACGGTCGTAAGTATCAAATATAAATACCCAACAAATTTTCATATCTAACATTAATGGCAAACAATTCTGTAACATTTAAAATTCAGTGCTTTTACTTTAATTCCAATTCTTTTTTTTCCCAAGCAAATTAAATTTAGTTCTAATCAATTTTTACTGCCACAGTTTTTCTAAGGATAGCAAACTAAAAAAAACGTTGACTTTTTTGGTATCAATTTGATATCCTTAGAAAAACACTTTGTGGTAATTAAATGTAATTCTAACCAGTTTTTTATATTCTATAGAATATAGGTATCTGAACAATTAAGAAACCTAAATTTTCATAAACAGTTTTTTTAGATGAAAGTATCAAACGAATGCCAAAAATTTAGATCAATTTTTGTTTTGATCAACATTTTTAGCATCAATTCGTTGCAATTTGATTATTAATACTTTTAAGTTAACAGTGAATATATTTAATTCTCTCAACAGCATTTGGAAATGAAACGATGCACGCGAATGGAACGGAAAAAGTTGGCTGCCCAAGTATTCAAGAATGGTGTCGTTACACGCCCCAAATGACAATAACACAATTTCTCATTGGCTATACATTTACAACAATTGGCTATCCATTGGGTGTGTCATTGACACAAACGATATTTAGTAAAATTTTGGGACCACGACCACAAGGTGTTTGGATGGGTCTGATGACTGGCGCCGGTTGTGTATCAAGAATATTGGGTCCCATTTGTGTTGGTATCATTTACAATCGCTATGGTACATATCATACATTTGGTGTCACTGGCGCGACACTTGTTTTGTGTATTATTTGGTTACAAATCGTCGATAAGAGACTTATTCCATTAGAGGAATTAGAACAACAAGTGAATCGTGACAATAATGTCGAGGGTTGTGAGAGAAGAATTATTCAAGTGCCAATGAAAAGAATGGAAAATCAAAATCATCATACGGACTCGACACGAGTTCCTCTAAATATTGATCAGGAGAATGATAAACATATAGAAGATTAACATATCCTGTTTTCTTTTTTCTTTTTTTTTTTTTGTGCATAAATTTTGTTTTCCAGTCGATGACTTTTATTTTTTTCTATAAAGAAATTTTTATTTTCTTGTGAATGAACTTTATTTTTTTGTGAATGAACTTTATTTTCTTGTAAATGAACTTTATTTTTCCTGCAGAGAAAATTTATTATTTTCGTTTGTGCAAATATTTCTACTTACTTGAAATATCAATATAGTGATAGTATCAATTATTATACAGCACTTAGAAATGAAAAGTATTAAAATAAGCGAATAATGATAAATTTTTATTATTTTTCGAAAAAATTTTTTCTCTTTCCCCTTTTTTTACACGTATACATGCATACATATGTTGATAAAGAAAATTTAGTTTCTTAATTTTAATTCTAATTAATTAAGTTCATTAAGAAAATAAGTCTATTTGTGATAAAAACTATACATGTTATAAAAAGAACCATATGCTCAAATACGAGATTTTAGAAATAATTATCACTTTTATACATTTGTAAATTATAAATAATAATGTAAAATATTTTCTAGCCGTAAACTACTTAATATTGTTATATACGCGAATAAAATATTTTTCTTAACAACAACCACTTGTGATTGAATGAAACTATAATTTTATAAATAGAATAAAAAATTTACAATTTTCTATTCAGTATTTTCCCTTTTTTTCTACAATTTTAATTTAATTAATTATTTTATTTACTTTTATATAATTATATTTACTACCTATATTTTTTGATTACACTTAAAAAATATTTGTCTTTATTAATAATCAGAGATATTTTATGAGATAAATATTTTATTGTATGCAAATAATTTCTAATTGAAACAATTTAATACTATTTGCTTCAATATCAGAAATTAACGCTATAAATTAAATTTATTTAATAAAAATATGTAAATAAAAATGTTAATAGAACAGTAATTTTGAATAAAAATTATTTTTTTATTTAAAATCTTATTTTTATTTTAGTTTTTATTAAAAATTATTTGTTTCAAGTAAAATGAATTCCTGAGAAAAATTTTATATAAGAAAACAATTTTATTCGAGACAAGAAATTTATTAAAATTTTTGAAATTAATTTAATTCTTTTCAAAAAAATTTTTTTTAACTTTTAAAAATAATTGAATTTTTATAAAGAATTATATCAAAATTTATGAAAAAAATTAAATTATTCCGAAGAATTTTGTTGCAATTATTTTCAAAAATACTTGAATACTTTCGAGGATATTAATTTAAATTTTATTGAAAACAGTTGAATTTTTAGAAAAAATGTTATCAAATTTTTGAAAAAAATTAAATTCTTCGGAAAAATTTTATTCAAATTTTTAAAAATAATTCACTTCTTTCTAGGAAGTTATAATTAAAATTATATTGAAAATAATTGAATTTTTTGGAAAATAACTCAATTCTTTCCAGAAATTAAATAAAAATTTTATTAAAAATAATTTAATTTTCATATCATTTTGTCAAAAGTTTAAAAAAAATACCTATAATTTTCTATAGAATTTTATTAAAATTTTTGAATAATTGAATTCTCTCGAGAAAGTAAATTAAAATTGTACAGAAAATAATTGAATTCTTATATAATTGAATAAAAATTTTAGAAAACAATTCAATTCTTTCGAGAAATTTAATTAATATTTTATTAAATATAATTGAATTGCTTTTTAAAAATAATTAAAGTTTTATATAATTTTATAAAAAAGTTTTTTAAAAAAATTGAATTTTTTCATCAATAATATTAAAATATTTTTGAAAAAAAATAATTTTTTTGAGGAATTAATTTATAATTATATTGGAAATAATTGAATTCTTATATAAATAAAGAATTTTATCAAAATTCTGAAAAAAATTGAATTCTTCTGAAGAATTTTATTGCAATTTTTTAAAATGATTGACTTCTTTCAAGGAAATTAATTAAAATCATATTGAAAATAATTGAATTGTTTCGAAAATAATTTAATTCTTTCAAGAAATTCTATAAAAATTGAACATTTTAAAATTTTTATATAATTTTATCGAAAATTTTAAAAATAATTGAATATTCAGAAAAATATATTAAAATTTTTGAATATAATTGAATTTTTTCGAGGAATCTATAATTGAAATTCTATAGAAAATAATTGAATTATTTCGAAAATAATTGAATTCTTATATATATAATTAATAAAAATTTAAGAAAAAGGTTCAATTCTTTTGATAAATTTAATTAATTTTGCATTAAAAATAATTGAATTCTTATACGAAAATTTTCTGAAAACTATAAAGAAATTGTTATCTTCTCAAGAATATTGTTAAAATTTTTGAAAATAATTGAATTTTTTGAATAATTTTATAAAATTTATTGAAATTAATGAATAATAATAATAATAATAATTTGATTATTTTATTTATTATTCAAAATAATTTTCTTTTATTTAATCTGCAATTATTCAAAAATTGAAGTTGATATATTTGATAATAAAAAATTTTGTAATTTGCATAATAATAATAAAAATAATAACAATAATAATTAGAATACTGCGTTTCATAAGCACTAGCACGCGTAACATTAGCTATACTAAAATGAATAAAATAAAAATAAAATAATAATAATAATAACATTTATATTTTATTTTATCGCAATTTATATTTTTATTTCGCCATTAAAAAATTGTTAGTAGAAAAAATATAAATATTCAGTTAGCATTAATATATAAATTTCACTTTGAATTCTCTTTTGTAATAAACTAGAAGCTTGAGATGTACTTCTCTGTTGGAGTTTTAGAGTAAGTAAACTTTCTCGTACATATACTCGTGGCTCATTAACATAAATTCAGCGCCCTTCCTTTGCGAAAATCGCATTTAATTTGTATGAAAATTTAGTACTCTCTTGTCGCTAATTTCTTGACGCGTTCGGGGACAAATTCAGGCCTTGTCACATCAACCCAGAACTTAATGAAACACTTTTCTCCCACCTAATTAGTAATCACCGCCTCCCCCTCCCCCCACTCTAAAAAATTATAAAATCAACTTTAATCAAAATGCAAAAACTCCACGAGAGCTTCAGATTAGAAATTGGAGATTTATTCTTATTAACTTTAATTTTTATTTTACCAAGTTTTTTTTCTTTTCCATCAAGTAAAAATGTCTGACCAATATTGACTTTTACTACTTGCGATAAAATTTGCTAAGAAATGACTGTGTTGCTAATGTAATAAATTTATTTCGAAATTAAAACGTTTCGTCTGACTGGGACTTACTTTTACTACTGATAACATAATCGAATGCAACTTGTCTGACCAAAAATTTCCTTTACTACTAATTTACTAAATATTTATTAAAATTAAAAATTTATTATATTAAACAATAATTAAATTCACACAATTTAGTTTAGAAAATGCTTTTAAAAAAATAATTTTTTAAAATTTTGAATAGTCTAAAATTTTATTAATAAAAATCAATAATAAAAATAAAAAAAATAGAAAAAGAAATTTCAAATTTTCCAAATCAAGTTAGAAAAAAAAATTATTTTTCCCTCTACTCAACAACTGCTTGGAAATCAAACCACAATTGTCGAGTTCTTTTTTTTTATATTTTATATTTACCCAAGCGAATTCAAACTTGTACAACTGTCACAGTGTTTTGTTGGAAATAAATTATGTTCGATGGGCGAAGAATCAAAAAATTTTGTTGACTCACAACACAAATTTTTTTTTTTTTTTTTTTTGATGAACGCATTGTGTTGCTAACGACGCTTTCTGAAAATGATGAGCTGTTGATCAGCATAACAGGGGGTCTTGGATATCTCTCGCTCTTTTTTTCTCTCTCCTCTCTCGTCTCTCTTGGACCTTTTATTATTTCTAGGCTAGAAAGTCACGCACAGTCGCCAACACCTCACCATGGGAAATTCCTTTAAATTAAATTCAACCAAACTCGTGCCCTCTTTTAAACGTACTATTTAAAAAATAATAAAAAGACTTTCTCAAATATTTCACAACAATAATAATTATTTTTTTTTATTACCTTTTATCTTTCCAGGAAATTAAAAAAAAACAACCCAACACTTTCAATTTTTAAATGTTTATAGAAGGAAAGTAATCGACTTTTTTTTTTGTTTCATTTCATTTCCTTTGGGACAAAAAGTTCGAAGATTAATATTTTTACTTTCTAATGAAGAAGAAAATGGAAAAGTTATTTAATTATTTGATAATTAAATAAAAAATAATTAAAATTATAAAAATGATTTAAATTTATGTTTATTTATTTTTACTATTATTATTATTATTGCTGTTATTGTAATTATTAATATTATTATTATTATTGTTATTACTATAATTATTATTATTATTATTATTATTATTATTATTATTATTTTTTACTATTATTATTATTATTATTATTATTATTATTATTATTATTATTATTATTATTATTATTATTTACTATTATTATTATATTATATTACATTTTTATTGATCAAAATTTTAATAATTAAAAACTATATTTTATACAGTAAAATTTAAAAAATAAGAATTTAGTGAAATGGTAAAGCCAAAATTTATATTTTTTGGTGTATAATTTTTTAAATTAAAAATTAAATAAAAAAAATTAAAAAATTTATATTTTATCTTTTTCTGCTTTTTTAATGCGACTATTTAAAAGCACATAACGTTAAAAATTAAAGGAAGATGCGACAGTGTTATAAATATTCAACTTGCCATATGATCAAATTATCTTTCATATTTGTTCAATAGACACCCCACAAGAGCAGCAAATTTTGCCGCACTTCAGGAGTCATTTAAATAGCCTAAAACGCTGAGGGGAGCATCCTTTGTTAGAAAACAGACTCACTGACAAAGGGGGTAATATCTCTCCCCCCCCACCTTTCTTTTTTTTCTTTATCCCTAACTCAATTTATTCCATAGAGAACAGATACCACAACATAAGTCACATTTTTCATATATGGTTTCGCTTCTTCTTCTTTTTTTTTTAGAAAAAATATTACTTTATAAAAAATCCTTCCTTAAGAAATCATCTTTTCAAATTCACTGTCCAGTGAAATAATTTTATTTGCTTTTCAATTTATATTAATTTTCTACGCTGCGACCACTATTATAAGTATAATTTTTTTTTATATACAGAATATAATGTATTATTAAATTCTTCTTGTTCGCACGAGTTTTTGTCAAAAGTGAAAAGAATTTTTTTTCAAGTACATGTTGATTGTGTTATTTTTTACATTTCAGTTGATTGTGATATTTAGAAAAAATAGAAGTAAAATTTTAGTAATGGCAAATATTATAGTTAAAATAACTAGTAAAAAAAGTAAATAATAAATAAATGATAAAAATATTAGTTAAATATAAAATAAATAATAAAAAAAATTAAAATAAAAAAATAAAAAAAATAAATATTAAAAAAATAAAAAAATAAATAATAAAAAATGCTTGTAAAAAATAAACTAAATAAAAAATACTGTGCAGTAAAAAATATATATAAAAAATTAAAAATATATTTAACAGATTTATTTAGTAAAATTTATTTCAACAATTACTACTTTTTATTAATATTTCTCAAAGTAGTTGCAAAAGCATTTAATATAACTCAGTGCTCGGGGGGAAAAAATAATCAAAAATAAGTTAACAAATACTTTGCTGAATTTGT